AGACATTTTTAATGCAATAAACGTTCTACAAACTTAAAATAATTAAAACGATACGCAATCAAAAAACTTTGACAAGCATAAAATAACGACATGAAAGGTGCGTAGACTACGCGGTAAATTTATGTATTTCGAAAAAAAAAGATAGATAGAAGATAAAAAAAGTAATAAGGATAAATAATAACATTTTCTTTTGATTTTAAATATCAAATTAGCGGTTTATTTAAGAAATTCGGGATAATTAGACATTAATAACAACCTGTTAAGTGGATTTTTTCGTGAACATTAAATTGTTTTATTCATATTTTAGGTTAGACAAATATATTGTAATGCAATTTCCACTGGGTTGCCCTTTCTAACGTCTCAAGTTTATAAAAATGCGTTAAGGCTCTTTGGAAATATGGGCCTTTATTTAAGAAAATATTCGAACATCTTCCACCACTTTCCGTGTATAGATAGAGGAAACGCATTAAGCGAAAATGACATGTACGGGGTGTGTTCAAAAAGTAAGGTGACTTCCAACTTTTATCAAAAAGTGTTTATTTCTTTATCAAAATTAATGTTATCTCCTTCAAAGTAATCCCCCCAGATATAATAATGCACTTGTGCCAACATTTTTTCCAATCGTCGAGGCACTGCTGACAGGCATTTTCTTGTTCTCCCAGCGATTTTTTTTTATCTCCTCGATGGTTCCAAACCTCCTTCCTTTCATGGGTCGCAGGGGGCCATATCCGGTGAATATGGTGGCTGAGGCATGATTGGAGGTTTTTTTCCAAAAAGTTCGACAAAAGCAACGATGAGTGAGCAGATGCATTATCGTGATGCAAAATTGCAAAAATTCTTTTCTCAATTCCGGACGTTATCTTCGTATTGCTTCTGACAAATGCCTAACTTTACTACTACACCTTTTAGTAAAAATTGTTGATGTACTACGCCACGATAATCACAGAAAACAATGAGCAAAACCTTGACATTTGATCGAATATGACGTGCGTTTTTCGGTCTTGGCGATAGTGGGTTCTTCCATTTTAACGACTGGGCTTTGGTTTCGACGACATAACTATATACCCATGATTCGCCGCATGTTATTACCTTTTTGAGCATATCAGGATCATCATTGACTTTGTTTAACAGCTCTTTCTTGAGCGATGCTCCTTTGACGGTCCTTTTGTTCAAAATGAAGATGTTTCGGAACAAATAATGCTACACAATAATTCATGCAAAAAACTTCGGAAAAAAATTGCCCAGCACGAGCCAATAGAGGTGCCGACTTCTTCAGCCACTTCTCTAATAGTGAAAGACACCATTTGTTTCACTTCTTTAATGCTTTCATCGCGTGCTGGGGCGTCCAAAGCGAGGTTTGTCATCGGCCTCTTCTCGGCCATCTTGGAACAGCTTGTACCACTTGTAAACATTTTTTTTGCTCTAAATATATTCACCGTATGCCGATGTCAACATTTCACGTGTTTTGCAGCACTGCATTCCATTTTTTAAACAAAATTTGATACAAATCCTGTTTCCTTTTTTTTACAGAATACAATCGCCGGGTACACAAAAGACGTCTAACGCTTCTGTCTCACAAAAAAGTAAACGTTCAAACTGACTGAAACTGTGAACATATGTTAGGGACATGCGTACTAACTTAACAAAAAAATATTTACAATAGTCACCTTACTTCTTGAACACACCTCGTATTTGTCTCAGCTTAAAAATAGTACTAATTTTTTCCATAGTTAATATTAGAAATTTTTATATAAACCTAGTTTCCCAATACAAGATAATAATCACATTCCACAAACTCAAAAATAATTTCCACCAGTTTCTATTGGGCGATTTACTTAATAATTTTTTTTTCGAAACACTAGGGCCGTCCGTTTCCCTAATATCGTACCTACTTGCCCTTACTGGAACACCCGATACATTTGTTATTTACTAGTCTAATCGGTTACCTTTTTCGTTTTATCGCAGTGCAATTCTTTTACAAAAAAACAAATTTAATTTTAAGATAGGTTAAGGCGGTAGAATTTCAAAAGAGAATTAAATTCTTATCAGGGTATGTATTTCAAAATTATTTATATTTATTAATTTTCCGTGTTTGTGTTAAATTAAATCGATCGAAAAAAATACGAGTTGGTTTTATTTGCGTTTTGATCCGTCTACGATAAAACCGCTTTACTCCTTGAGGGTGTTTTACCGCTCCGGTTGCCGGATCGGCAACCAACGTTACGCCGACGGCGCACAGCCGGTTGCGTGACAAAAAAGTCGATTCCCCGAGGTAAGATTCGCAAAACACGCGCGAAATACAATTTTGTTTGTTCTTTTTGGCGGCTCTAATAAATGATTGTGTTCGACAGGCGAGTCGTTGACCCACAACGGAACGCTGTCTTACATTGAAATGTTCGAAGCGTCGCCTTCGAACGTTTTGCTGTGGCGTTGCAAGGCGTGCAGCAAAGAAGTGACCAACAGATGGCACCATTTCCACTCCCACACGCCAACGCGGTCGTTCTGCCCGTACTGCCCGGCCACGTACAGCAGGATCGATACCCTGCGCAGCCACATGCGTTCCAAACACACGCTTTTCTTCAACAAGCAGGCGATCTAACAGTACGAGCGGGCTACCGCTTTTTATTTCAAAAAGTGGTACGCTAGGTAAATTGCGAAAGGTTTAAACACAGAATTAATACTCCTAGAAGGCTGGTACATAAGAGTACGATTCACTCCCGAAGAAAATCTGGAGTTACGAGACTATTGCGCATGTGCATGTGTACAACCAAACAAACTTACCTGTGCATCATAATATGAGGGTTTTTTGGATCCAGTTTACGGTTACACTAGAGACAGCGTCTAATGGACGTAATTTTCATAAAAATCGCTCAAATTATAAAACTAAAACGGCCACGGCGCAAACGTTCTGGCTGACAGCGGTGTTGCCAATAGTTTCTAGGGCAAACGTCAACCAAAAAAATAAACTAACTGAAAATTTCCTAGCTTTATACACAGAAAATATATAAAAATAGTCTTTCTGATGTTACAATTACAATTACAAATATTACACATTTTCTCTCTTCGTGAGATATTTCTCTCTCTAGCTGCCTTCTAGGAGTATTGATTGTATGAGTTTAAGTGACATTTAGGGAATTTGATTGTGTAATAACAGAGAGGGTTAATCTGTCTATTTGGCCGCACTCGATTTTTGAAAATGTTTAGTTGTTCAATGTAGATTAAGTACTGAAGACCACATTGTTAACAATAGCAGTCTTGTTTTTGATGTCTAATAAAGGATTTCATTTGTTATTCAGTGCATATCTTAGATGTCAAAATAGCTACTGTAGCACATACTTAAGTGTACCAATAAGCATAATCTAAGTCACAAATTATACAATATTTAGGTGGATTCGTTCCGTTCTCAGGCAAAACACAAAATATAACGTTCGTTGTCCCTTGACAATTTTTCATAGCTTCTTTTGCTGGAAAAAATAAAAAAATCACTAAACACGCCCTCCGGGGAAATCACTAAACTCATACGAGATTACTTTCCTAATATGAAGAATTGAGTTCTCTATTATGAATTATGTAGAAAACAAAAAATCATCCCCATCTTTTTTTGTAAAAAAACTCAAACATATGCCAATAATTCAAAGCCAAAAGAGCGCTTTCTATATATAAGCCCAAGCAACGATATATACAAAGGGTATAGAAAAATGTGCTAAATTGAAAAATGATATCATCCTCATCAAGGAAAGTTCTATAAAAAAACCTATTTCTCTACTTGATGTTAGTTGTGACTCCCTCTGTCGGACGCTTCACACACTCGAAACTAACCAAAACTATATGATTATGATATGATTATAACTGTTTAGTTGCGTTAAAAATGTTTTGGACCCTTTTATAGAAAAATATTTTCCTAAAGAGGCAAAAGTCATCGAAACCTTCTTGATTGCAACAAAGCAATGTAAAATTTATAATCAGAAGGAATTTCTAAATTAAAAAATTTTACTTTTATTTTGGTACTTTGGGGTGCTTTAGTTTTTTTCTGCTAAACAAATTGAAATTAATTCTTTGGCACTTAAATTGGCAGCATAAAAGAAAATCTTTATATTATATTTATAAAATACAAAGCGTCAAATGAAACTGCAAAACTTTGAAATCTAAGTCATATATGTGTGCTTCGTATACTAAGTTGCTTTTTATGTTGCTAGTTTAATTTAATTACCCTCTGTGTGTCGTACTTATAACCTATAAACCGCAGGTACCTTTTTTCCGCAGAAATCAGATTGATATTTAGTTTACTAACATTACCAACATGGTTCAGAAAATTAAGATTACTATTGCCTACTGTTACTACCGACCAATAAAATGTAGTTATAAAATAAACAACTCTCATTAGAGGTAGATGTCAAAGTCAATGATACTATCGCAACGTGTACATCCACACAACTGTATTTTTGTTCCTTTGTTTCCATTTTTTGAAAGCAAATTAAATAATGTCAGCATATCACATGTATAACTACTCTGCTTATACCAAATGCTTCAGAAAGATACTAAAACTAAAAATTGTAAAACTGAGGCGGCTCGAATCCACCCTTAGCTGTTAATTAAAAGCATGACCAAGCACCAAAAAATAAGTGTCGAGATGTGTCAAAATTCCGAAACTAAATGTCCCATAAATGTACCTATTTAAAAATTGTCTGTGATATTGGCCGAAGTATGATTTTAATTTTAATGGAACAGGGTATAGGTAAAATAATGATTAAAACGTTTTTGTCACAATTTTAGGGTAACTTAAATACAAATTGCTTACGCGAAAAAATTGAAAGTGATTTCAATGAGAAAATGTAATGCTCAAATTTTATGAAATACTGTATATTCAAATTTATGTACTATGTTTAATTTTTACCCAAAATGTGGACAATTGAATTAAATATTTAAAATGTACTGTCCTCTTATTTTGTTCCCACGGTCTAAACACACCCAACAATATAACTCAAAATAAAACAAATTAAATATTTGATACCTAAAACTATGAAAACATTGAATTATGTAGATTCTCTATATCAGCTTCACGATCTTTCGCTCGTTTTTTCTCTTTCCTCCAAGCCTCGTAATCATCATCATCGGTTGGTAGTTCGTAACGACACAAAGGACAAGAATTTGTCTAGACAACATATGATATATTTTTATTTAATTATATGTATTATTTAATATTACCTTTGCGAGCCAAGGTAGGATACACTCGGCATGATATTTGTGGGCGCAGGGCAGTTTTTTAACTGCTTCCCCAATGGAATGTTCTTTTAGACAGACAGGACACTGAATACCTAAAATTAAATATTTTAAAGACTAACTGCAGCAAGGCGACGTCACTCTCACCCGAGGTTTCAATGACTTCTTGTTCCAAGGCTTCTATAGCAGCTTTGGATGCCGCAGGAGGAAGGTTTTCGCCGTTTAGCGAATTTAGTTCTTGAAACATATTGAAATCTCTAAACAGTCTGGCCAAATGTAATAGTTGGTTTGGAGTTTCTCCATCTCGTAATTCTCGCCACCCCATTTCGCTAAAATAGTCTGTCATATTTGGATTTACTGCTCCCGAATTGGGCTATTTGATCCTATACCAATGACTTGTTATTTACTTGAGACCACCTAACCTCAAAAATAATATATGGAATGCCAAATAGTCAGGAAGAAGCAAATTTATGACGTCATATAAAAGTGCGTATACGCTGGCGCGCCGCGCGTCCGGCGTTCGTTGCATTGTCATTTCAACAATCGTGCCACGGTTCATAGAAAACGCTACGCGCATTGAAAATTTAATTGTAATCATGTCTCTGTCACGCTAGGAGAACTATGCAATTTTAAAATGATGAGTAGTGCAGCTCTATTAATGGCAAGTTTAGGAAAAAAGAAGAGAAGAAAACGACTTTGGCGGCGTCTGATCTTTTCAGAAAAAGACATGGCACTGCGCTAATGTCAGATTTGAAGTCTGTTTACTTTGATAGGCATCGATGAGCTTATTTTCTTCATTACCACACAATATTCAAGAAGACAATAAAAGCGCGCTGAAAACAACGAACCTCTTTTATCTCCGTCCCAATTGTGCCGCGAACATACAAACACGCACGGCGCAGCGCTCCAATTAAAGGGCAACAACATTAAGAATAAAACAATATGTATATAGATCGAAAAGTAAATCGTAAAGTCAAATTCCAAAAGCATTGCAATAAAGAAAATATTTCAACAGAACCGCATTGCTGTTCTAAAATGGAGACAAATGGCAATGTTGCAAAAGCTAAGTCAAAAATTGGTCTTGTAATTTGGCTATTTAAAAGTAAGGCTAGAAGGTGCGTCTTCTATAGGTGGGGACTATAGACGGAAAACAAGATTTAACAATCTGCTGAAAATTTGGTCACAGGTTTTTAACTGTACTTTATCAATCTAACATTTTTCTATGTCGCAGCATTGCCGCCTGTATCGAAAAGAAGCGACAACTAAGATTTTTCTGAAATTTTTCCAAAATATTTTGCTATATCTGTATACATTGGTTTTTTGAGACATTAATTATTTTAAAATTTTTCGGTTGAAACAGACCCCGGTTTAAATTTTTATTTCTGGGTTAATAGAATATTTAGAAAACGGAAATTTTTCTGGATACTGGTTCCCTGTGGAGTATAATCAATTCTGCGATGTACAATTAGTAAAAAGTAATGTTTTTCAAATGAAATATAGTCATTAAAACAAGGCAAAACGAATGACATGTGACGAGACTATCAGGACGGTTAGTGTTTTAAAGCTGCCGTTTTAGACAGCATAGGCATAAATCGAGAGTAACAAATCTTACCTGCTTTTTTCAGTATGTCCAAAATAACCTAAATAACAAATGAGAAGTTTTTATGTTTACTACCAAGTGGAGCCAGGGTAGTAATGTGGCGCCACTTCTCTTTTCTATTTTTATTAATGATATTGGCTCTAATATTCCAATTATCATCACACTATCCAAGAGATTGATAATGTTCAGTGTGTAAAGAAGTTATATGATTGTTTAGTTAAGTCTAAATTTGGTTATGCTTCTGTAATATTGCTGCACATTAATAAATTAGAAAGGATTTAACGAAAATTCCCAAAGTACCTAGCATTCAACTTGGATGGTCGGTTTCCACTCCAGGGCTGCAGGAACTTATTTTTGGTGTGCCTTTTTTTAATGCGCGGCGCGCCATCGTATAAGCACTTTTATATGACGTCATAAACTTGCAACTACCTCTACCAATGCTTTAACGAGGGCCCCACTTCATCAGGCGACGAGTAATTTCAATGAGCTGGAGAGTGAGACTGACATAGATCTGTTCAACAGCTTATTTCAAAAGACTTCACGAAACCTGAAGGGTCTTTGATATTTATTCTTTCTTGCTAGTCTGGCGCTGTCTCATTTCCATGTTAAATAGTTTTTATTATCATTTTCTCATTTATCTCTTTTTCAAAATTATTATTATTGGGACCACTCTCTATAGCTCTGAATTAGACCTTGACCAATTGAATCGGTAATATGCGAACTGTAAAAAAACCGGACCATTATAAATAATATATATTTAATAAACATATCATAATGAAATAATTTCCTAAAAGCTAAGTTGCATGTTTCCAATAATGTCAAAAACAGAGTCTAACTCAAACACGTTGCACGCGGCTTCTCCGTTACAGACGAACTACTCTAAAAACACCTATTTGGATGATAGGTTACGTTGCGTTTAGTGTGCTTATATCGGTTGCTATGGTTCTTATTTTTATAAAAGATATGAATAAAAGCATTCTTTTAAAATGTATGTACATGAACGTACACAATAACAACTATTTACAAAAAAAATTATAAAGTTTGAATTAATTACCAATCAAACTAACACTTCACAATTTAAGGTCCAATTTACAAAAACTATGTACACAGCTTCGGCTATCAGTCGAACTTTGGACGTTTCGCGTCGTGCCCGTCGCTCTCCGTCGTCCTCTTCAGTTCGGCCAGCGTCGCGACGATATGGGGCTGCAATGGGATCTCGCCGGAGCCTTCGCTATTCAGCGACATAGTCTCCGCCTCCGGCACCGAGGACTGGTCGCTGGAGATCTCCTCCTCCCTTTCCGCGACCGGTCCAAGATCAAACATGTCCGGGGGCGGCTCGCTCAAAGAGCTGCACATCTCGCCGCCTAAAGTGCACAGTCCCGACTCTTCGTAACTATTTTGCTGGCCCGCCGACGCGCCGATGCCGGATTTTGGAGATTTTCCACCCTAAACGAATATTCTTTTTAAACGACCGGTATTGAAACAAACTTGTAATCCACGAAAGCATAAAATTAGTTCAATATTAATAAAGTTTTCAAATTCTACTGTACAAATCTTCTGGATACCGCCTGCGTCGGTTGTTGACGAGCATATTTATGGAATCCTTTGAGAAGAAAGCCCTTGACACCTTCCATCTAAAACCAAAATTATGGAACTCTACGTAGATGATGATTTTGTTATTTGGTCTCACAATTAATAATAATAATAATAATAATGGGAGATCAGATATTAGATATTCTAATCAATAGATTGATTGTTTGATTGATTCTATAAACCTAATTAATTTATTGCATTAATGCAGTCACATCACCATGGCGCCCACAGAAACCCGCTCAAACAATACAGAGCGTTCCAAAAAAATGTATCCAATGTTTAAAAGTTCATAACTTGCGAACTAATTGACGGAGTTCTCATTTTTGGTGAAAGTGTAGCTTAAAGTCCAACTTAAAGATCTCACTGTATATTTGCACATGAATGTAGGATGGATTCTCGAAGTTCATTGAAGGTGGTGAGCGAGTGAATTGTTGTAACACAAGATAGGAGTGACATGGAATTGTTACTGTTACAGGTCATCCAGATCGTTGGTTGGGTACAACTTTAACAAAGCCCGCGGCTTCAAATTTGTTTCGAATACGAGGAATCGTAAAACGTGTAAGTGGCTTTATTTCACACTCATTTCATGTTTTTGTACTTAAAATATAATTTCAGAACTGAGTTCCTTTCATCGAATGTAAGCTTTACACCAGCCATGTTTACTCGAGTAACAAGGTACAACTAATAATAAAACACCAAGTATCTGGCGACTGTCATCTGACAAAACAAAACAACGCATGTCTGGCCACTGTCGGAACTACAAACTATGATATTAGTTTGCCAGTTATGGCAAGTTAAACAACGGATACATGATTGACAAAAAAGCGTCTTTTTAGTCCCGAAAAAAAATTTTTTTTTTTTACTAAAGGGAGGGATGGAACCATATATTCCTGCCGATCTTCAACTCGATAGCTCAGAATTTCGGCCATTTACTTTTGTTTTATGGCAACTTTCCGAGCAAATACCAATAATAGCGTACAAAATGATCAACTCATGTTAGATTGGCTTCATATTTTGTAGTCTGCTGCGGATCACCTAGTATTACAAAGCAGGAAATTTAAAAATCCGTTGTTTGAACCGTTCGAATGTTATCCGGGTTCAAAAACCTTACGGAGAACAGAGATCAGAAACACGAGTTTAGTGATAAGCGATTTCATCGGTTTCAGGAAAGTAATGGGAAAACTTGGAAAATAATAATTGCGGACACCGAGCAACATATTTTATTTCGTTTTAGGTCCGAAATTCTGTTTTTGGACGTGCACTACTACTACAACGCTTATCGCTCACCTCCACCACATCGTCGGTCAGCAAAGGTAGCGACGTGACCCCCTCGAAGGTCGCCCGTCCGGCTTGCATATCGGTCCCGCCCTCCTGACCTTGACTGTTGCTTTCCGAATCGTCCGCAAGTACCGGCAACGAGCCGTAGCCCTCGAAGGGATTCTTCTGATCGTCTCCGACCGTCTCCTCCACCACGTCCTCGGTGAGCAGCGGCATGCTGCCGTTGAACGGCTTCTGCGACGAGATCTCCACTGAGTCCTCGATCGCCGGCAACGAATAGGAAAACGAAGGGCTGTTCATATCGGTACTGACAACCGTTGCCTCCGAAATCGGCAGCGACAATTCCATCAGGCCGGTCGCTTGCTGGTGGGCGACCGTTTGGGAAATGTTCGGGTCCGTTATGGTGATCGGGAGGTCCACATTCTTGGGAACCTAATTTTGGTTACAGTTAAATTGATGTTAGGGCCACATGCGAAGTCGCGATTTAATTTAGATTGTTTTAAACCAATATCTATAATATATCTGGGCTAAACTCAATACCAGTAATTTCTAGGGTTAGTCTTCAAGTTCTAACCTAAAAGTCCAAAACAAGACGTAAACGGTGAGAATACTAAATGAGGTGATTAGTACTAAACCTAAAGTTTATTGGATAATTTATGTTCAATCTTTCCAGCCATACTGCCATCAATAATTCGAGCTGATCTTCAAAAATCCCAGCTCCCTATTCATTTTACAGTACGGGAAAGCAAAAAACAGTTTATTTACACAATTTAAATAATTTTATTTTAAAACTCCAACAAAAGAAAGACTAACTTAAGCGAAATTTGGATGTCAGTGTCGGCTGACTAATAAAAATGATATTTAATTCAAACCAGCAAGTTGTTCTCTATGACAAAGTTGACAAAGTTTATTCATAAGGATTAAGTTTTTAAGCGAAAAGTCTGACGTGGAAAAACTGCTTTTAAAAATGAAAAAAACTGCATAATAATAAATTAATATAGACTTAATAGGTATGTTATCAATGTTATCGGTTATTGATAACATGTGGATGTTACCTGCGACGTAAGAAAAATCCAGAAGGAGTATACTTTTACAGGTTACACAGCCCGAGGAAGTTTTTTAAAAAATTAAAAGATGTGTTTGTTATTTTTTACTTGTATTTTTTCTTTATTTCGCACTTCCTGTTTCCGTAGATAATACCGAGTGCGCCTTTTCGAAATTGGAGTTAATCACAACTTATCTCGGATCAATCATATCTCAATAAAGTAATGTCACAATATTTGTGTGAATAAAAGCAAGAAAAAATGCATTTTAACACAGGAAATAAGTTTTACTTTCAAGAACACTGATATTTATTGAAATAAGTAAAATATAAACGAATATTTATTTCATTTTGTTGATTGCTATACTAATCACATTGTACCTGTTTGTAAAATAGATCAATAAAAATTATAAACTGGAATTTTTTCTAATGCTTATTTTTCGGGGCGCCACAATCCTAGAGCCAGCATCGACTGTGTGAACGAGAAAAGAACAGTGCTATATATATTAAAAAGATTTGATATGCATTTTGGAAAGTGCTTTGCCGAGTGACATCACATGTCAGAGTAATAATGTCAATTTTTGGGAAAATGGGTTTCAAAACTACCGCGACATACCTGACCGAGAATGTCGGCCTCGTCGTCGATCTTCTTGCCGCTGATGCTGGGCACCTCCAGCGGCGTCATGATGGGCGAACTCAGAGTCAAACTGGTCTCGAGGACGTTGCCGACGTTCATCGGGTAGAGGGCACCGCCGCCGGGGCTCAGTTGGGACGGCGGTAAACTTTTCATGATTCCCGACACCCCGGGCGGGTCCTGCTGCTGGAACACGTCCGTGTTCGCCAACGCGGCCGCCAAAATGTCCTGGTTCGGTTTGTGCTGCGTGGAGAAGATCGGGTTGCCGGCCCCCTCCGTGTTCTCCGCCGACGGGTCCATCAGCAGCGTCGCGTCCGCCGAGTTTGTTTTGATCAGGATCTGTTGACCGTCGGCCTGGATCAGTAAACTGCCGCCGTCGGCGTTGGCCAGGATGGTCGCAAGGTCGGTCGTGCCGTCCGACAGAGATTCGAGAAACTTCTGCGTCACCACCGGATCGCCGGTCACGATTAATTGCTGGCCTCCCATCGGGTCGCCTATTGCTGCGTCGGTCAGCGACACCTGCAGTTCGGCGGGAAGTTGAGGTTCGGGTGGCGTCGGTGTTGGTTTTTTCATAGCCGGTTTCGGCTCTGCCTGGTTGAGCTCCTTCGGTTCGATGATCGGGCCCTTGAGACGTTCGGCCACCTTTTGCTGATCGGTAATGATGGGCGCGGAGGCGACGTCCGTCTTGTTCATGACGGCGGACGCCGGCGTGATTACTCCCTGGCCCTGGTCGACTTGCAGTACCATGTTGTTGACGTCGCCGCCCAAACCCAGACTGGGGTCTAACGACATCAGGGCCTCGTTGTTCAAGGGTGTTAGATTGCCCGATTCGTCCAAAGTGATGAGCATGTAAGACTGGGGCTGACCGTCGACAGTCTCGCTCGGCAACGCTACGCAGATCATTAAGTAGTTAGTTTTGGCTAGCCTAAGCCCACGCCACTATGTCTTCCGCGATAATGATAATAATAATGCATTTTACAAAACTTCTGGATTCCTCCTGCGTCGGTTTTTGCTTAGTCGAAACTGAAATCATCCTGTTGGCTTCATCAGAGCTTGACTGAAACTGGCTCGTATTTTACTCTGTACCTGCTTATATATTGCATGAGGGGGGGGGGGCGCTAATGAGGGGTATAAACACTTTCTCGAATGACTGATTAATAATAATAATAACCTGCCATTCTGAAATATTCTTATCAATAGAAAATCAGACCTAACATTGGGTCATTGTGTTTACAGAAAACCTACGCACACAGACCGATACCTTAATGCATGGTCACATCATCATCCGGCTCAAAAATCATCGGTTATCAACTCTCTTGTTTACAGAGCCGTAAAACTACATATCTCAGCCTGAGTCACTGAAAACAGAATTAAAACACCTTACCTTCCACATTGAACATATTAAACTCTCCATCAAAAAATACACTTCACCACAACCTTCCAATAGCAATGAGGCCGAAAGCAACCCTACACTTGCCAGTGTGGTCCTTCCTTACATTCAAAACATCACTGACCATATACCAAAAGTTATAAAGAAGTATATCGTCAAAACCAGATTTACCACTTGTCCAAAAATCTTTCAACATCTGCGGTCCGTCAAAGACAAAATTCCATTTGAGACGCCAGGAGTTTACAGCATTCCATGCATATACGGCAAAGAATACATTGAAGAGACCAGACTAAAAATATCAACTCGGCTCAAAGAACCCGAAAGAGCCTTACGACTAAGACAAATAAACTCATCAGCTGTTGCCGAACACACTCATGAAACCGGGCATAAAATTTTATTTGATAAAACTAAAATTCTTGCATGTAATCAGTTCTTCTACCAACGAAAAATCCGACAGTCTACAGAAATCTATAAACAACCTAACAATCTTAATCGCGACTCAGGTCTCTACCTGTCACCAATTTGGGAATCACAAGCAATATATAAGCAGGTACAGAGTAAAATACGAGCCAGTTTCAGTCAAGCTCTGAAGAAGCCAACAGGATGATTGGCGAAACGTCAGCAACTTCGACTAAGCAAAAAACCGACGCAGGAGGAATCCAGAAGTTTTGTAAAACGCATTACAGTATCCTGTGGAAGTTTCTTTGAAAAAAGATAATAATAATAATAACATTAAGAACAACTGGCAACATCCAAACTACATTGAATGCTGTTGGGGATTCAGAAACTTAATAATTGCAGCATTGCATAGGTTCATTTTATCAACTAATTTAAAGCCATAATAAAATAGGAATATTAAAAAAAAAGATAACACAAGACGAAAATCTATTTACAAAAACAAAAATATTATAAGACACGCTCGTTTTAAATACCGTAATGCCATACAATGTAGAGATAATTTTGTAATTAAATTGACCAAAACAAATTCCTTCAAATCGTTCCAGTACCATATATGAGATTTTAAATAAAACAATCGTCTTCTTTTGAAAATTCGCTTAAATAAAATAACAAACCAATATTTTTCAAAATTTAAATTTAAATATGTATAAGCAAATTTGGCAATGTACTTTTTATAAAATACATGTTATTAAATAACTATAGATAACACGCTATAATTGCAAGGTGTAATTTTGATTCAATTTCACCAGTCAATTAAGACGAAATAAATTAAAATTTTTAATAGCGAAGCACAGAACAGCAGTATACAAAAAAGTCTGACTTAGAGCAGCATTCAATTAATAAATAACAATAACATTGTTGAAATGTTCGAAGCCCTTCTCAAAATGTATTTATTTAACAAGCAGGGAGAGACTTACTTTTGGTTTCTTTTTAATTTGTTTATTTATTGGTTTCTGTTATTTGGCATAAATTTGTTATTACGAACAAAATCGATTATTATTATTCTTTTTATTACTAAAAGTATATGGAAGATGAATAAAGATAAACCTTTAAAAATTGAGTTGTCGCCACAGGAGATGATGATCCATATTAAAAATGTATATATAAAAATATTTGGGACATCGCAAGCAAACCTCAATTTTTCAGTGCACTGCCGGTAAAACCGAAACTATGTTTTTTTTTTCATTAAATTTCAAATTTATTCAATTTGCTGTGACAGCGACATCGTTTGGATAGTAATTTTATTAACACCCCGTATAGATCTCGCTTGTAGGCTATGATCGTCTTTTTGACGATTTTGCTTGCTTACTTTGCTGCTGTTTCTCGATTCATGATTATTAAAATTTTAATGCGGACGTCACGCCGTTTTCCATCATACAACATGTAACATGTTAAATAGTAATGATACTACTGAATGTGGACCCTCCTTTATGAGAAATGAATGATTGATCGCGCCTCCGTTGAATGTTCAACAAAAACATGTAAATAGAATGGAAAACATTAAAAAAAAAGTTTATTTTTCTAATATAACCGCAATCTAATAGGTATTTCGTATAAAGCAAGCCTTGACTTCTATCATATGTTGAAATTATCTGTTAGGCGAATAGCATGCGGAAGTATTTTTTGCATAATATTGTTAATAACAGAGTAGACTATCCAAAACTGTTAAAAATTAATGCTATGCGTCTAAATATAGCACAATTTTAGGAAAGAACTCACCAATATCTCTTTTGCAAAGAAACAGTTACTTTTTGCACATAGATATTTTTGCTTTATCACTCAATTCGTTTAGGAATCAAGCAGTAAGAGTTTTTTGTTCAAAACAAAATTTAATTTATTTCCACTTTCTTTTTTTTTTGGTTTTAAAAATATTTTTACTTATTCTTTAGAATTAATTATTCTTAATGTACCTTAGTGTGTCATGTTAGGGTACCTTGTTAAAAAAAAAACTTAAGATCGAAATTATTTTATGCAACCTATCCTAAGAGATTGTTACCCATGTGGTGCGTGGCAAAGCTTTGAAGGAAACCCTTCCACAATATTTACCAGTAGCCAGTAGTAAGTATTATTAACAAATCAGAATGCGAGCGCTCACCCAAAATTTGCCCTTCGGTAATGGTGGTCTGGTTACCCAAGGCGTCCTGTATCACCAACTGGTTGAGCGGCCGTTCCGGCTTGCCCTCCGCCGTTATAGTTTGGGGCACAAGCGTCGCGGGCGTCTTGCCGTCGCTCTCCACCATTTGCCTACTCGCTTCCGGTTTATGTCCTGTTTCTGGCGCCTTTTCCTTCTCTGACGCGTTCCTCACCAGCTGAGATTTCAGGGGTAATGCGGCCTGTGCGTTGGGCTGCGTAGTCGCTTTTCCAGCTGCCGAAGTCGGTTTCGGCTTGACCGGTTCAGGTTTCTTGGGGTAAGGGGCCCGTCTAGCCGTCGCCTTGACGGTCACGCCCCTGTTACCGTAGGTGATCAGCTCTGGTTGTCTGCTTTGCTGAAGCCGCGCGCTGGCCTTAATTGCCTCTAGCTGTTCCGCGACCTGTCTGTCGAGCTCGTCCTCGTCGGTGCCCTGTATCTTCTTTACCGTTTGCCCGTGCTGGTTCTTGATCAGGATCGTCTTCTGCATTTTCTGACCCGGAATTTTGCCCGCCACGGGCTTTTTGACGAGCGCCGGTTTCCCGGTTTTGGTGGCAGGCATCAGAAGACCGGATGATCCGTCCGGTATGGTCGAGGATGTCGCGATTACGGTCGTTTTCTGAGGCAGGATTTTGTCGCCGACGCCGCTGGGACCCGGGGTCGCTTCCTGCAGTAGACCTTTGGGTATTGGTCCCTTGACGATCGTTTTGGTCACCTAAGTATACAAAACCGATAGTTGGGACTGATCCTCTGCTAGTGACCACTCTCATAAAACAAAAGTTCACTATAACGACCGTTCTTGCATTTCCCAAGTTAAAATCAGCGTGCACAAACTTTATAGGTCTTCGAAAAGTCGTATTGGAAATGTGTCACAGCAAAATAACATCAGTCCATAAAAACCAGTTTTTATTCAGACCTTGGACGATGAAGATAGTGGCAACGTGAAGTTTCACAAGCAATGCAAATCAACCTTTCGTACAAACGGCACCGTGGCTTCTCATCACGTGAGATGACATACTTTAAAAAAGTAAATTTTTGGTGAGCTATTTCCTATTATGGATGTTTAATGCACCTCGATAGCGCATTATTTGTATTGCCTTTCATATTTTTTCTTTTATTCTTTTTTAAAGGACTTACTTTTGTAGAGTGCCAGTTATCAATATAATACATTAGTGATACAGCTATTACAAAGTTCCGAGGGACTTACCGATGCCGCTATGGTAACGATCCTAGGCCCCATATGGTGAGATCTTAGTTCAATTATAGTATCGAAAAATAAATTTGTTTCACTCCCGAAAACCGGCTTTTGCGCGTTAAACTCAAAAAACGTATTGTTGGATAATCTTCACCCTCTATCCGTTAACCGTATCACTCATTAGATTAAAAATAACTAAATGTACCCAAAAGCTGACGGTCGCAGAAAAGGTATAGTATGCAACACGTTTGGTAAGCTTTTTAAGTCACTCGTTGATTAAACACTCGCTCCGCTCGTGCCAAACAAACTCGTAATGCCGTTTACCAAACTTGTTGCATAATATACTAGCACGTGGATTTTTAAAATTATTTACTAACTCAATATTTATTCACTCAAATCTAGGAAACGGTTGCTGATGGGTATACTGACATTTATTTACAGTTACTATTTGTTTTTTAATTTTTAAATTTTAAATTTAAATTTTTTAAATTTTTGCGGCCCGTTGAAAAATATGAAACCAAGCACGATGTGTTGCGACTCTCACCTTGGTTGGCTGACTCTGTACCCCCAACATCTTCTGCTGCGCCGGTGTGAGCAACAGGCGATGCTGCTGCCCCTGCTGATTGGTTACTATCATAATCTTGTTGCCTGTCATTGCGCCCAGTTCGGGCTGCGCCCCAGGCATTTTAATCGCGGCCGGTGCTTGCTTCCGGATTACCTGCTTGGTGCCGACAACTTTTCCTTGCTGAACTACGCCCTGCGTGGCTGCGGAAGGCAGTAGTATGTACTTGGTGGGTTTACCCGATCCAGTCACCAGAGACGGAGCTTGCTTCAGGACCCGACTCGAATTGCCGGAGATGATTCTGGGCTTCGTGGCCGGTTGTTTCGGCGTGCTGATCACCTGCTGCGTCGAGCCGCTGGCGGTTACGGGGGCGCCCTGCTTGATGACCTTGAAATGACAGACCCTTTTTTAACCCGAAATGAATTCCTGCTATATTTGAACTTTTTCCCAGTCTCAGCCACACACTAACAACTAAGGGGACCAGAACAGTCTTGTGGAATTATTTTTATTATTAATATACAGAAAATACCCTGCGGAATGGCCCAACCTAAAGAAAATACTAAAGACTATAAAGAAGCTAAAAGCCTTTTTAGAAGATACAATCACAGCAGAACTCTTTAAAGCTGGTAGACAAATACTTAAGGAAACCATCCTTTGTCATCCAAAACGTGTGACGTGTAAAACAATTGTCGGGCTATGCTATTTGCACAAAAAAGTTTATCAGTTGGAGTATAATAACTACTGTGCGATTACACTACTAAATATTGCCTATAAAACATTGGCACACGTTCTGACATCTCACATAAGGATGTATGCTAAATCTAGAGCTGGTCGACTGAAAAGAGACCAGATTTTCATATTACCCCAGATAATTGAGAAGTGCTCGACGCCTTCCATATGTTTAGCGTTTATTCAGACGTAAATCAACTGCATATACCAAAAACTTTAATTGAATGTCAAAAGTGATATGTTATGTTAAAATATGTGATGAAATCTCAAATTCATTCGAGACAACGCAGGGTGACACGCTCGGGTGTCCTGAAAAAATTAATTCGAGATGCGAAACTCCGCTGCGATTTTTAATAAATCATCATAGATGCGTACCTACCCAGACGACATATACCTGACCTCTTGAACCCTAAGAAAAGCAAAATGGGATTACTGATCAATGCGAATAAGATAAAGTTAATGGCTGCCACAATGGAGAATATAACATCGTGGATGACTGCGTATACCTCACAGACCTGATAAACCCCAGTAATGACGTTAGCAACGAAATGTAAAGGCGTATAATGCTTGCCAATCGCTGTTATTTTAGACTGTCAAAATACTTACGTAAAGCAAGAAACACAAAGATCATATATAAATATATGATATAAGATCTTATTGTATCAGTTTAAAGTCTTATAAAGACAAATTTACGGGGCTGTCCAAGACAATAACGTCTGGAGACGTAGTTACATAACAATAATCAAGATTGGCAGACCTAGATGGTCAGTACGCGTAGCACTCTACGACACAAAATGCTATAAAGGCGACAAAATGCTATAAAGGCGAAAAAACAATCGAGCACGATTTTGGCTTGTTGCGAGTCTAAAAATTGGTGTTTGAAGGTTCTGGTTAATTATTGTTACTAATTATGTTATTTTTATTAATTATGATTATTCCAAATCCCACCAAACGTTTCAGGGCAAATATTTTTCAGAAGATTTAAAATGAAAAATACTTCATTGTTAAAATGTGTAAATCTACAACTTTTTAGAATAAGAAACCTTATACTTCTTATATACTAAATACGACAAAATTATAAAAACGGACTGTTAAAATTACTTTTAACGATTATTTCATTCAAATTTTTAATGTTAGTTTTTGATCACCCTACCCTGTGAACTTTGTGAACAATACCAATCTGTTAAGTGGAGCACGCAGAGCTAAAGATTTGAAGTCCAAAAGATAGAGAAGAAAGCAAGATAGCAATTTACGCACAGTTCCCCTGCAATCCAGACTTATAAGCTTCCATGTGATCGGTTAAAATTTATCCATACATATACAGGGTGCCCGTAGATTTGAGCCTGTTTGGAAAATTTCGTTTTTCTTTTCTTTTAAAAACGACAGAATCTGCTTTTATAACCGAGTTTGCTGATCTCTACAAGCCTTTCCCTTATCAAATAGACGAGAAGAAATATGAAAAATAACTAAATTACGTTATTCATTATTCTGCTACGGGCATCACCATCGCCATGAGCAGTTCATCGAAACATAAGAGATAATATTGCTAAGATCATAAATCTCACACCAATGTCATGTCAATGTCAAAAACGTTTTTTATTTAATATAAGCGCTTCCGCCTGTTTTTTTTGAGAGTTGTTTGAATCCTTAGTTAATGGATGAGGGTTAATTAAGGATCTGTAAGTAAACCTTATACATAATGATCTGACGCATTAATCTAAATGTAAGAACAATGTCTACAAAATTGAGTCACCTCTAAAGACCTACAAATCCACAAATCGCAACAGCTGTACTAATAGTCTATAGACATAGGCGACCATATAATTACCATTTTGCCGGCAGGTGCCACGACCATTTTTCTGGACGCCAGCGTGGGTGTAGCCTTCTCCTTGACCAAAACACCCTTGGTTGTAACGGCCTGTTGCGTAGTTTGAATCACCTCGTTCGAAATGACGACGGGCATGCTCTCGATGTTTTCGGGTGTTAGAATCTCGTCGGACAGCACAATCGGCATCGAGTTGATATCAAATATACTGTCGTCGGTCTGGGGCTGGATAATCTCTCCTGAAACCATCGTTTTAGAAGCCGGAACAACGCGCGAGATCTGTAATCTACCTTCCGGGGTTATGATGGTCTGCTGCAAGATTTTCGCCTTTCCGCTGACTCGCGATCCCTTCTTTGTAGCCGGCGAAGGGGCGGGCTCCTCTGCTGATTCCGCCTTCTTCGTAGCCTTTGGTATGATGAACGCTTCGACGTCCTCTATATCGTCCAGAGTCCTCTTAACGCCTTGACTGGGTCCCGCGGATGTTGCCGGCCTTATAATCTGCTCCGACAGGATAATCGGTTTGGTGGCGCCCACGGTCTTAACGACGCCCACATTCGGCTTGGCTTTTATCACGAACTTTTGATTTTTGACGCCGATCCCGCCTTTTGGCAGCTTCTTTAGCAGCATTTTGGAGACGTTCTCGGGCACTTTCACGTCACTTTGTATTACGACCTTCTGCGGCGGCTTCTCGATCGACAGTCGCTCAAGAAGCTTCGGAGAGTCCACAGATTCAGGCATCGTCTTGTTGGACAACACGATCTGGGACGGGATACACTCCTCGAAATCGCAAATGCCCTGCACGCCTTGCACCACGTCCTTCTTCGAATAGCTGTCGAACGATTTCTTGAACTTCTGTTCGGTACTACTCGACGAAGAGTTCGAATTGGAATTACCCTCGAGGATATCCAAGAGCTCGGTCCTCTCGTACGTGTTTGGTCGACTGACGAGCGGTTTGTGATCGATCGCCCTGATCATCGCTTTTAAACTAAACTCGGTACCACTACTGTCGCCCAACGAACCGTCTTCCGGTACCTTCGATTTCCGGTTCAATAATTCTGCACTGCCGCTATCGCTCGATTCGCTATAATCCATCGAGAAACTGCTCAGCGTCAGCGGTTTTTTCTCGCTAATCACTTTGTCGGTGGTGATTTCAACTTGGGCGTCCGCGAGGTCTTTTTCAGACATTACTGTCAGATTGCCCTCGATGGTGACAAGCTCCGAAGGGTCCGGGGGCGGCACGATCGGACTTTTGACGAGCGACTCCGCCGGCACATCTTGCTCAGATCCACTATCGTCGACTTTCTTTTCCTCGGCGTTTTCTTTGACCCCCTTTATCTCGCACAAAGTCGCTTCGCCCAAAGCGGACAGCTCCTCGGTATTGGAACTTTTCAAGTTCGTTAAATTCGTTTGAATAGAAAACTTGAAGTCGACCTGAAACGCCCGGCCATTTAGAAATACAAATACAAATTGGCAATGCAACAAATTAAAAACAGTTAGTGATATATTTAAATTATAAATGTTAATGACACATCATTTTTTTGTAGCGTAATTAATTATTGTTTGTCCTGATTTATTGGCTATACAGTAAAATTCGTTGTAGAACACTATTAACAAAATGCGACTCTTAAAGACATCTCTATTGAACAATATAATCATATACTCATATATTCATAGAACAACAAACGTTTTCTAGATATAGAATATATAGAAAATATGAATTAAATCGAAAAAAGCAATGCGCTTAAAATTTGCATAAGTAAAGTTATTTATATTTATAAAGAAGCAAAATATATAAACTTTTCTCTAACGGGTGTCTCATTTAAAATTTCGAGATAAAAAAGCATCATGCTAGTTTCAATTAGTTAATTAACGCAATTGTTGAAAATTCAAATAGTAATTGGTATATTTTATCCCATGTAAATTTAGGGTAATAGACCAACCAGAGAGTTCACATGGAAATAAAAACGCATTACCTCTTCGAGACTAACCTCCATTTCAGACTGATGGTCGTCAACCTCCTTGGTAATTGCGGAAATGGGAACAGACCCTTCCTCCAAGGGCGGCACTACTGTTTTGACCTCCTCTTCCACCGGTGGCGGCGCTGTAACGTCGTTTTCCGAAGATGGCACCGTTATCGTTTCCTCTTCCAAGCCCGCGGGTTTCGCTGTGCACAAATACAACTCTTGCGCGGAAGAAGTTTCACGTTGTTCCGTACCCACTTGATTAACAATCTTAACCTCCTCTTCTACAACTTCACGACAAATACTGTCCTGATCATCTAGGTCGCTTTGTTTCATTTCAATTTCACCTGGTTCTTGATCTCCGGTCTGATGCTCCGCAATTCTTTTCCGTTTTATAGTTTCATCCGTATCGACGTCTAACTGCTCGTCCATCTTGTGTTTCTTAGCCGCTGAATCTTCTAAATCAGACTTTTCTTGTTGCTCCCCAAACTCTTTACCCTGTTCCACTTCAACGCTTGAATCGTCCACTTCCTGAAACGCGAAACTCTTCTTTTTAGCCAGCGGCGACATCTGCGGAACGTCGTTAACGTAAGACTTCTCCGCGGACGCTTGACTATTCTCGAAAATCTTCTGGATTTTCTTTTTGGGCGGTTGCGGGATGTCTTCCGCATCATGTTTCGGCGCTTGAGCGTGCGACGTCGCCTCGACTTCCGACTGAGGCTGCTCCAACGGCAATTCGACTTTTTTCTTCTTTGGCGGCATGCACTTGAAGAGTTCGGAAACTTTCTTGCCGTCTTCGGACTTGCGTTCTTCCGAAACCTTCGGTTCCGAATTCTCAACGGCAGCGGGATCCATCTTGTTCGAACGGTCAGCATCGATAGACTCTATAGCGTTTTGAACGGCATTCTTCAATGACGTCGACATCAACGACGTATCGTTGACCGAAAAATTCAAAAGATCGTCTTCGATTTTGCTCTTGACCGGAGACACTTCGGCATCTAACGTCAACTCGTTCAGCCTTCTGGATTTCTTTAACGGCAGGATTATTTCGCTATCGTCGTTCGCGTCCATCACTTTGGGTTCCTCGCAAGGTTTCGCAGGTTCCACATCGTCCGGTAATGGTATCTCATCGAGTTTAATCTTGTCGTAAACGGTCTCGACGCGGCATTCCCCGACCAGCACGGCCTCGCGCAGGCTGTCCTCGATTTTCCTCTTATCTTTTTTCGGATGGCTGTTCCTCCGGGACCATCTGCTCTTCTTCGGCGGCATCGATTTGTCTTCGACATCTTCGGCGGAAGCGGACCTTTGAACGGGCTCACCAGGAGGCAAGGGTATTTGGGACACGTCCTCGATGAATGGAAAGAATTGTTGGGCCTTATCTTCGGCTTTTTCACAATGAGATTCGGCCGCCGTTCCCGGTGGTTTGTTTTTCTCTTCGAAATCGAGCGCAGCCACTTTCGAATCTGCAAATTCTTCCCCTTTATGGTCGACGATATCGGAAGGCGTAATATCGTCCGGCGGTTTCGACGTTACCGTCTGTAAAATATCCTCGGGCGGAAGCCTACCGATGTCTTTTACAATTTGATCATCGTGAACCATCTGTTCAATCGACAACCGCTTCGCTCGGCCCCTTTTCGGCTCGTCTATCGATTTCGGTGATTCGAAAATTTCCGGCTTTCTCACCGGGTCTTGTTCCGCTTTCGGATTTTCGGTTTCACGCTCTCTGTTCTCAGTGTCGACGCGGACGTCACTTACCGCCGCCAAAGGCTTGAGCTCCGCTTTCTTGAAACTGACCTGATTCTGTAGCCCTTTGGCCTCCTTGCCGCTAATGATTAGTTCACTGTATTTGTTTTTCTTGTATTTGGCAATGTCTACAGTGACAGTGTGTTGTTCTTCTTCAAACTCGTTGGATTCCGATACCTTCCGTTCTCTTTCTAGCGCTTCCATTTGGGCGGTCTCGGCGCTTTGTTTCAGGGCCTCTTCCAAAACCCGCACCTCCTCGCTGTTCCGCGTGCGTCTTCCGGGTTTAAAGTCCGCGGCAAGTGCCGAACGTACCGGCGTTTTCAAATCCGCCTTGGTTCTCCACTCCCTTTTCTGATTCTTAGTCTGTTCCATTTCGTCGCCCCCTTGGGCGACTTCCGGCTCGTTTTGCTGAAGATTTTCCGAGTGCTGCTTTTTTTCAGCGACCTCCTCGAGTTTGTCATGTTTGCCTTTGCGCCGACGTCCCTTCCCTCTAACCGGTTCTTTCCTTGACGCATTTTCAGTCTTGTCATTAATTACCAACTCTTCATTGGGAGGATTGTTCCCATTTTCAGTTTCGGTTACTCCTTCCTCAATTTTTCCATGGGCCGTCATCTTTTCCGTTTTCGCAAAACCCCCTTCTTCAGTACGTACACACCCCTCCTCCGTTACAGCTTTGTTAACGTTTTTAAATTTCAACGTAGAATCCTCAATTGCGTGCTTGCTATCCTCTGCCCCGATTATTCGACGAACCTGCCCCTCGTTGATTACATTTCGAGCGAAGGAGGCTTCAATTGCTTCATTACGACCACCAGCAAAAAAAAGAACCTTCGAACTGGTTTCAGTCTCCACGCTGTGGTAAACACTTCTAGTACTCCGCCTGGTAGTTCTTGGTGTGCCAAGATCGCTCACTTCTTTATGTTCTTTAGGTTTTGATTTGGCGGGCTTTTTGGATCGACGTCCGGGGGTCTTTAATTTTTTATCGGACTCTTCTTGGTGATTGGCAATGTCGCCATCCAACAAACTATGAGCGTCGGCTAAATTGGCAGATTCTATTTTGCTGTTGGGTATCTTAATGTCCTTTTCCTCCGGCGGCGCGTAGAAAGATTCTTGTGTTACCTCTCTGGAACTCTCCTTATGGTCCATTTGCCTCTCTTTTACTAATTGTATGACTTTATCGCCCGTCTCTAAAGGGATTTCTTCCAACATATGAGAAGTTTCCTGCGCTACTTCCTTGAAATGTTTCTTCCTTCCTTTAACAGTTTCCGTCGGGCTGTCCTTACTCGCCTGTGACTTGTCACAAGTTGAAAAGTCTTGTGTAAGTCTCGTTTTTCTTCTAGTGTTTCTACCTTTGACTGGTTCAGCGCTTTCTTTCGACTGGGGTGACTCGATCACGGGATTTTCCGATTTTGCATTGTCAACGCACTCCATAATCTCTTTTGAGATTATCTCATGTTTGGTTTTTCTCCTAGTATTTTTTTTCTGTGGATCACTTGAATTATCTTTAAACACTTCCACTTCTTGGAATTCTTTTCCATTGTTTTCTCCCTGACCTGTTTCAATTTTCTCGTCTGTTTCTTCGTTTATTTTGATAATTTGCTCCACCGTTTCCTCAAGAACCAATTTGATGTCGGCATCCGCCGCATTCTTTAAAATTTCAGATTTCTCTATATCCTTTGTTCTGGAAATTTCACACCTATCTTTAGAGTCACATACTTCGTCTTCTCCGACGTCGCCGAAATACCTGCCCAACTGTTCATTCTCCTCTTTTTTTCTCAGTTCCAGTTCGAAATCCTCAAAAGATTTAACAAACCTCTTCTTAGGATTGATGGGTTTTGATTCGGATTCGTTAGAAATCCCTTTGTCTGGAAATTTGACAGTCCTACCATCATGAAAATTTTGTTCAGGCTTTAAAGTGTGGATTAGTTCTCCCAAATTCGGGACAGCAGTTTCTTCCATAACTTCCTTGAAGATGTTCTCCAGGTTATCGTCGACAGGTTCGTTTAGCTTCTCGCTATTAGACGAACCGTCTCTCCTTTGCAAGGAATCATCTTCAGACTCCAGGATATCCCTTTGATCTGAAGCGGTTTTTTCCGGAATTACCCTGGGAATCTTTCTACCGGGGGCAGCTGTCACGGCGATCTCTTCTTCTTCGTCATCTTCGTCAAAATCGAAACAATTCTTAATATCCTCATAGGTTTTTGATTTTAACGTGGGCTTCGGAGATCGTGAGACGCTTCTAAATTTCGTAATTTCCTTCAAATAGTCTTCCACTTTCTCCGTCTCTTTGGTAGCAGTCTTCAATTCAACGTCCGAATCCTCATTATCCTCGTCCTCTTTATCACCATTCGAAGCCCTCTTGGAACTTTCTTGTTCATTTTGTTCGTCGGTGTCGCTCCATTCGTTAAGAAGATCCGTGAAAGTGTCGTTCTTCTTCTTTGCAACCGGCTTCTTTCTTCTCTGTCGTTGTTTCGGAGACTTTTTGCTTTCAGAACCGGAGTCTGTTCTTTCCGATTGAAATTTCTTGGCCTTCTTTTTGACGGAATCTATACAGAAACAAAAACTCTGACGTTATTTACTTATTTCTTATTCAAATATTTTTGGGGCAGAGTTAACGTCTACTAACAATGTTACATTTTTATCATGAACAAAAACCCCAAAAAAATGTTCCACCATTGGTGTTAACGGAACTGGTTCAATTAATATATGGAAATCACCCATGTAGATTCGCATTGATTCACAATATATTATGTAAGGACGCTATTTTAGTAATGACTGTTTTCGTACGAGCGGAGCGCAGCGAAGAGAGTACTTAATAAACGAGTTACTGAAGAAATTTAACAATGTGTTGCATACTTTTTCTAAAAACACACAGCAGCATTTTCCTTCGGCATTCGCATCCACATCGAATTGAGATGATTCAGCCCACAGAGATCACTCCAAAAAATAATGGGATAATGAATAAACTTCTTCACTTTTTTTCCAATTTGGTTAGTTTTGACAGGTTGACAATAATTTTGGAGCAAATTGTTGGCACATGCGCTTAATCCAATTGCTCTGGGTTTTAAGTTTATATTACTATATTTTCTTTGGAAAAGTAAACAAATCTTCAATTTCATCTGAATAGATATTCTTTTAAAAGAATAAGAGCAAAAAACCAGACATTTCTGGAAGACACTGAATATATGGAAGAAGCATTAAATTCTTACCGAACAAAAAATAAAATTATGAGAGCAATAAACTTAATAGCATTTGTATTCACACTTTTATTACAGTTCAGCATAATGTGATGATAAATATATTGTGTTTTTATTTTGTGAGCAATTGTTGATATTTGGAATGGAGATTAATAAAATTTTATCGGGTGAGTTGTGAAAATTGTGATTCAACCATTCAACCAGCGCGTAAACAAAACACCCGATTATTGTATATTATGCAACACGTTTTAAACATCCCAAGGCGTGACTAAGTACCAAAAAAGTCCTACGTAGCTCGCAACCGTGGATAACGAAATTGACGTCTCTAAGTGACACTTTAGTAGAGTAAAACGTGCACCAAAAAGAGAGCAAACATACTACTTTAAGTGATTAGATTATGGTAAATATACGTTTCCGGCTACTACATCGGAAACGTATGACAGGCGCAGTTGGCTTGTGGATTTTCCCCAAATTCCACGCCACTATCTTAAAATCATTATTTTTCGAGACCTTTAGTCTTAAACATACCTGCACAATTATTTTGATTTCAATATTAATTATGTGATGATTTTTTGCGCCATAGGATTGCGTCTATTACGCAAATGAAACTTTAATCTGTATTAACAAAAACGGATAATATTGTTTATTGCTTATTTATTCAAACATTTACAAATAAATTGTGATTCAAATTTGCTACAAACTAAATAAAAGAACAAACCCACGAAACTATTAACACATTTTATCTAAGTTATTTGGGTTAAATTTTTGCATTTGGAGTTCGAAATTCTAAATTATTAATACATCACAGTGTATATTTACCGGGTGATCATAGTGATATAAGTTATAAATTCTAGAATATTATTTTATTTTTGAATGTTGCATTTATGTTATGTTATCTCAAAGGTTCTCTGAAATCCGGACATTATTGGCAACGCCGAGCCGTTATTGCTAATTTCACAGAATACAAGCAGTCTGGTGCAATTGTTGATTTCATTTTTGGTGTTTTTCTCACAAAAATGTCCACGGAAACTAACCAAAGCTTGCTGTGTTATATAAGTGTAGAATTACGTACAAGTTAATTGTTCAAAGAAACTTTCTAGGCTACTGTAATACTATTTACAAATCTTCTGAATTCCTCCTGCGCCGGTCGTTGATTAATTGAACTTGCTGACGTTTAGCCAATCATCCATTTGACTTCTTCAGAATTCAACAGAAACTGGCTCACATTCTACTCTGTACCAGTTTATATATCGTTTGAGGGGCGTGTATCAAGTTAAAGGAGGGACATGAACATTGTCTCGGATGATTGATTCCTATATTGGTGAAAGGTCAAGATTTCTATGGATTCTCGGATTTTTCTTGGTGGAAGAATTGAGTACAAAAATTTTACTCTTATCGAACAAGATTTGATGTCCGACTTCATGATTATCATGTTCGGCAACGGATGATGAGTTCATTTGTCGTAGTCTCTTGTTCTTTTCACCTTAGTAATATTTTTCGTTCGGTGTCTATTGTTTGCCGCATATGCATGAAATGCTAACAATTTCTTTCTCAACAGTATTGCTGCATCTAGAAATCTTCCGCAACAAAAAGTGGTAGATTTTTACTTATTTAATTCTCCGACAATACAAAATCACCTTAGGTTTGAGGAAATTTCAGAATATCTCCAACCAGTGAATGTTTTCTTCCTTCGACAGTGGCGTGTTTCTATTTGGTGTTTTTTTTTTTCATAGTTGCTTTAGAAGTTATTGTTTTATCAGCATTAGGCGGTAACGCACCACTCATAAGTTTCGCTGGAGGTGTTGTGAATTATATAACATTAATATTATAATCACCTACACCTATTTTGCTTTTTGTTGCCTATTATGTTCTTGATTTTTGAAATAAAACGAGATTTATTGGCAAATACTGCATTTCAATTACTTTTCTCTATCATTTTAAGGTCACCGTCATTTAAATTTGGGGCCACCAACGCCAGAAGATTAGTCAATCCTGTATGTCGCAATGGCCCTAGTGAATACGATTTCGATCTTTAGTGTGGGAATCTACCTTGTGGATTAGTTTTCTTCAATAAACTCAAACTAAATTTATTATGGTGGTGCTACTAAACGTAAGCAAACGTGCCCGTTTTTATGTTACCTTGGAACTTTCTACCTGCATAGGCGACAATAAACCATTATTAGTGGCTCTGTTGTAATTTTTGTGGTGTGCAGTCATTTTAATTGGGTCTAACAGTGTGTGTGTAACATAAACGTAATAATATACACATTTGTTTTTTCTTTTTGAAGAAATGTATGAAATGACAATTTTTTTTAACGTTAGAAAAACTTAAATATTTTGAATTTATAAGTAAATCAATTTGTATGCGCTGTTTTCAAATATTGATAAATTGGAAAATAATAATGTATAAGTAACTTCATAATATATAGGTAAATATAATCAAACAATGAGAATACTCCACTCTTCAGCAAACAAGATAAAGATAACAATACGCATTACTGGAAGTCTTTTTCTATTGTAAAATTGGCTCAGTTCTCTATAACGCCTTTGCCATTCCAGTAAAGATGCAGTTAACTGGTTTTCTCTATGACATACCAGCATGCAGGTGCACCTTCTTACTTACCTTCCTTTAGAAATCACCCAAAAAGCGGTAAAAATTCAAATGAACAATAAAATATAACCTATAGAGTAGAATTCCTTTTATTGGCCGCCAGATATTTGACTTGTTTTGGGAATACTCGAAAGTAAGGAGTTTACCAATAAGCTTACATGGTCACAACCCCATACCTTTTGATCTGTTGCCTTATACTGTAATATTTGGATGTTTGTTTTTAAACTATTTAATAAACTGCTTTTGCCAAATATTTTCTTTGCTTGTTATAGTCTTTTATTTCAGTGGATATGTGGTTATTATTTATTATACTGAATTATAAACAAAACATAAATATAAATAATAAACCTCAACTCACTATCCGACTATATTCCAAGAATAAGTCACTCTTACCAGTTATATGCATTTTTGCGTGAAGAATCATCACTTCCAATCGCTTTGTCTTAAATAAGCATGTCTGACAATTAAGTTGCTGCTCAGGTTCTTCCTTAAGTTTAGAAACCATTTCTTCATCACTATTATTTCCTCTGTCCTTCCCAGGATACTGTATGCACATAAACGCTTGATAATCATCGTGACCCAAAAATCTGCGGTGAGTTATGTGAGATGTGTTCTGTTTTTGTGAAGTTTCTAAAAATATATATTTTAAGGGATCCTACATTTTTCAACTATTCATATTCATTCATTCATATACTTTTTGGTCTCACTGGAGTTTTTCCAGTTTTGGTCTTTTTAGGAGTAGGAGCACCGAACAACTCAGTATAATTGAACTTTTTAGTGGGTAAAAATATGGGATCGCTTAAGATATTTGGATTTCCATTGGTTAATTCCTCTGCCTTGGTAACATCCTTTGGAAATTTGCTCATGTGAGATATTTTTGACCTGTAAGCGGCTAAAATAGAATAAATTAAGTTAGAATATGATACACATATTTACATTTGCAGTTGCATACCCATTCCTTTCTTAATAAAATCATTTTTCTTGCTACTGTTGTATGGATAAATATTTCCCCAATTTCTGATATATTCGCTAAAAAATGTAAATAAAAAAATTAACTTCGTTAACTAGATTTAATAATTGCATACCTGTAGATAAGTGGGAGTGGCATGATAATGTGAAATGTGATATTTCAATTTAAAAGATCAAACACAAAAACACATTTTATTGAATAAAGTAACCTGACAAGCATTTCGATTAAAATCTGAAATTTCTCTTTCAATTCTTCAAAAATAATCCAAAAAATATAATCATTTAAAATGTAGCAAAAATGATTTGATAAATCAAAATTTGTATGTAGAACAAACATAAGAAACTGTTTTAAAAGGGAAACTTCACAGAGGGCAATAAACAGTTAAAGTTCATAATCGATTAAGCAGTTAGATTTAAGTAAAAACTTACTAAGAATCTTCATCGAAGAACTTCACTACTACCAACGGGGGTTTCTTAAATTCCTTTAAAAGGTCTTCTGGCAAATCTTCCAAATTTTTAACTACCCCGGGCCACCAACACCCGCCTAGCTTAACCCAAACAATATCCCCGTCCTTATACACGGGCGGGTTCGAAAAACTATCATCACTGTCCAACATTTCGGACCGTCTTATGAATTTCTGGCCTAAAAAATGCGGTTATCTGTTGGCTGTCAAGCAAAGGCGATTGTTTTCCCCGCAGGTTTTTGACACCACATAGGAGAATACCTTATTTTCCGTCCACCCAAAACGAAGAGTTGAAACGTATCATCGAAAAGTGCAGTTCTAAGGCTTTGCCTATTTGCAAAAGTTACTTACATTAATGTGCGCGGGGCAATCCGATTGGTAATGTTTATATTATTCCGAAAATGCCTAACAATAGTCACTTGTCAGAAACCTACATGACTTTCCCATGATGCTCAGCTTCTCGGCGTCGCCACATTACCAACTTAACATATTGCGCGTAAATTAACAATACTCTCTAATTACAAAATAAAAGGACGTTAGCATTAGAGTAATATGTACTATTAGTTCAAGACGAAACTTACATTAATTAAGCATTTACCTTACCAAATATCACGGGCTATTTAGGACAAGCCGCTGAGGAATAAGTTGGTATGTCTGTTTACCGTGGATGGAAGAAAATGGTTTCTATCAAAAACAAAATAGCCTGTGTTTTCTCAAGTGTAAATGTGTATTCGTTGTAGAAAAGCTCAAAAGTATTAATTATTATTGAAACAGTAAATGTATAAATTAAATTCAACTATCTTAAGACCAATTAGTGAACTTTGTAAACGATTAAGCTTGTTTGAATAATTTTCTAACCTCCAAATAATTTCGTCTCATGACAAATTGAAGCTTGACAAGACTGGAAATTGTTGCTTGTATTTTAAGTGCCTATTTTCGGTATAGCAATTAGTTATGCATACATTCTTTATTTCTTTTTTTAACGCAGTAATTAAATTGGAGTTTATGCCTATAACGTCTTCGTCTTCGTAAATCCATATTCCATTTGTTCATAAGTGTGGGTTAAATTAAATGGTAGTTTGCATGATTTGGTATTGCTTCAGTTGATGTTCTTAACACCCAAGAAGGGCACATGGGATAAACCAAGAGACGATAGTGATGTACATCGGCGATTTGTTTTTGCCCACTTGTGGCTTACTGCTGAAGTGACGTCACCAAGTCCACTCAAAACAAAATATTAATTACATATCCATCCTGAGTACCATAATATAACGCAAAAAATAATATGGTTTTGCAGTTCAAAGCATCTTTCGCCTATTAAATTGTTTGATGCGCAATGTAACTAAATTATTCGTGTTTACTGAATACCGACAGTCTACAAATGCGTTATTGGTATAGGAGGAAAATAGAGTGTGGTCTTTGGAGAGTCTTATTTCCGCTTTATGTTGTTTGTGAATTTACGTCACGTTTTAATAATTTACCAACAGACCTAACAATTGGAGATTAGAATTATTAAAGAGGTGAATTTTTTAAATTTCATATCTTAAGTTGGCTTACTTGAGTCGCTAAGAAATAAAAGGCATAAGGCAATTCGGCCAGCTTACAACCAAGTTTCAACTTATAACCTAGTACCATACAATTATTGTCAAAGTACTCCCATTCCTTTTCTGTGGTCTGTTTCTGTCAAGTATTCCAATCTTAAACCATTCAAATGATCGGTCCATCGGTCGTCCTGTAATCGGTCTTCGTCTCTCTTCAGACCTTTCAGGGCGGCAGCGAGAACGAAAAAGTTGATCGAATCGTTACGAACAAGCGGTCGGTCGATTCTATGAAAGATTGAATCAAAGTGACCGAATCAATCGCGATTGACACAACTCTACTTTTAATGTTCCATGCGATAGTAATTGACAATGACTTGATATAAATAGGTTTTCAAAGTTTGCAAAAGCTATTTTGGGCGTCAAATTTGCTAACAAGAAAGTCGGAAAAAACATTTGCCACGAATACAATTTTTCAAACAATTAAAAATAACTGGAAATTTAAAAAAATTGGAGGTTATGACTTCCTTTAAAACATTTTTGTAGATTATTGACATTAGCCAAAATCCAAGATTACTTTTCTTTTGCAATCTAAAATCCCTTGATCTTGGTAAAATATAATAATTTGTTTTATCTTTATCACATACTTTGTGTTTCATTGACTATTGTCATGTTCATGTCTAAGTGTTAATTTGTAATGTCAGATATCCTATAAGCTCCCTGTTAAGGTAATCAAAATGTGGGAAATTCTGGCATTTGGAATGGTCCTTCTATCAAGCACTGGCGGCGCAGCATCAACGGAAACTACACTTACAATGTATCAAGCAGTGATTCAAAAATGTCCGGGTGTTAATAATACTAGCATAAAAGATTACCGAGAATTTTCGAATTGCACAAACTTTACACGAATCAGTGCTACAAAAGAATACAGTGAGAGTACACGGATGGATTTGCAGTGCCTTTTGTTTTATGATGCTTTGGTATCATTTTGTACCGAAATGGGTGAATTCATCACTGTTTTCTCCAATTTTGGCAGCCTGCAACTGAAAAATATCGGAATAGAATCTGTGTGTGGCAAATCAGATCCATTATTTCCCCCTGAGAAAAAATTTGAGCACAATCTCACAAATATATTTTCCAAAGGATCAAATTGTTACCAGTTGTGCTTGAATGACATTGATAGGAGTGTAAGCAGTTATTGCATATTAAGTCTCTTATATGCCACCCTAAATACAACAAAGTTGAGGGAGGCAGAGCATTTAACCAATCCTGCGCTGGGTAAAAATATTACTGTTCAAGACAGCCAGCTAAGTAAGAATAATACAAATACTACAAAATTAAGTAATGTGCCCAAGCAAAGTTCAGTAAAAGAAGAAATTAAACTAGAGCCTGTTCAGAATAAAGCAGGCATTAAAAACATGAATGCCGGTTTGCAGGGTGACAGTGGCTCTCAGCAACAAAAAGTTGAAGACGATAAAAGCAAAGATAAGTTAGAGAATGTTATGCAAGAGGCAAAACCTGTTGGACCTTTGCTGAAGAAGCCTGTAGAAACTGAAGCAGATCCTCTGAATGTACCAATCCAAACTGAACAACTAAAACAGCTAAAGACTCCAAAACTTATTACCCCAAAAGTTTTAAAATCTGAGATGGAAGAGAAGAATGATAATATAGTAGAAGATCAAGTGGATAACATAGATCAACAAGACGATGAGGAGGCTGAGCAGGAACAGGAGTTTTTAAAGAAGAATGAACCGCCAGTGCCATCAGAAAATGATGATGATATTGGTAAGTTTTGGTCAAAGATGGTGCTGTGTTTTACTTTTTTTATTATTATGCAATTAATATAAAAACAAAGTATTCAAATAAGCAAAATTGCAATTAAATTTTATTGTAAACTAATCTTGTGTTAGGAATGCCTGAACTGGAGCAAATAAGGAAAGAAAAACCTCATACTCTGGAAGATGAGCCCATTAATTCATTTGATACCACTGAGGACATGAGCGGAGATTCATATTTCTTCTCCTATTTTACAGTTGTTATGTGTTTGGTTATAGTTGGATATGTTGGATATCACAACCGACAAAAGGTAGGTGTGGTAATAGATCTGATTCAAATTACTTAAAGAAGCCTTTCAATAAAATAATGTGGGAAATAAAAAAACTCATTTTATATTTAAATAATTAATTAGAAGAAATAAATATTTTTTTACCTTAAGATGCTACAGCATTAAGTAGCAAAGTTCCAATTTTTTTGGAGTGTTATGGAGTCAACACTTGTTTAGATTTCTTTTGCTATTCATCGCTTTTATTGTATATGAGTGTATGTTTTGTGAATTAATTGTTAGTTGCAAAGGAAATGACATTGTTTTAGATTAATAGATAATTGAGCACGATATATAAAAACTTCTGTGGGTTGATCATTCTTTACCCCCCCATAAACAAAGGTGTTATTCTACATATGCAACAAAAATATATTCAGAAAACTAATTGCTTGTGAAATTTTTTAGATTCTTGCTTTAATTTTGGAAGGCAAGAAAGGCCGAAGACCGCCAAGAAGTCGCAGGCCGAACTCGGCCAACTATCATAAACTGGATAGTAACTTGGAGGAAGCCGTTTCATCATCCTGTACTAAATCCACTACCAATGTAATTTATTAATCAGCTTTCAAGGGTTTCATATCACTTTAGACAATAATTCCCATTGTAATTGGCTTGCTGTTAGAGTAATGTTTTTTTCTTCAAAATTTAGTTATGGTGCCGAATTTGTATAAATGTATATAACATTACCTATAGTTTTCCCTGGTCACTTCATTACTTAACTTGAAATTTTCGGTTATTGGCAGTTTGCATAATAATCATTTAATCAATAAATTTATTTATGGATTATAACATAAGCTTGTTTCTGTTTTTTTAATTCATCCTAGTTGGAGTTGCAATTCTCAATTACAGCTTTTCTCTATACAGAGATTACTGTGTTACCTTACAGAGATTTTATTTCGTTAGTTAAGAGTTAAGAAATTTCAAAACTACCAATCACCTGATATTTACAATTAGTAATTAACAATACAAACAAAAATACTAAAAATACTCACAAAAATCTTATATTTATCAAAATTATCACATACTATTAAATCACAGCTGTTTATAATGAATTACATACAAATTTGCAATTAAAATGAAAGAAAAAAAAGTACTACAATTGATTATTAGGATAGAGATCCTATGCCCATAGACCACACAACAGGGCTATCCGTTGTGATACAAACAACAGGTTCTCCACTGTAAGTGTTAGAACTGCTGACCATGTCCCCAAAAGCCAACTTTGAATCATCTTAAATATGAAACTAATAATTAAATAAATAATTTAATAGGGCATAACAATCAGAATAGGAATGTGATGATAATTAACCAAATTACAAAGATTGTGAAATAATAATAAACCTACTTAAGTTCCACTTTAGGCCATTAGAGCTGACAATACATGGTGATCCAATAGGAATCAAAGCACACCAATCCAAGTTGACTCTCAAGCTTTCTGGTATACTAATACAGTGTTTTCCTTTGTTTAGTAGCCAAGTAATGGAGTTTGAAGCTATCTGATATATTTTTACATTCGCCAAGAAGGTGAGAGCCTTGTACAAGGAGTTAATATTGGCCAAAATTTGGTCAAAACGACCGGATGTGTCACCAAACACATAAATTGTGTCTAGCTAAAATAAAATGTGCAGTACATATATCATTTTAAATATAAAAAACCAACTTTTGTGTCATGTGTTGTCATATATTTTTCTAGTTGCCTTAAAGCTTTAGTAAAATCAGTTTCATCCTGATCTGGCGTGCAAATAACACGGGAACCCGTTTTCTTAAAATAAATCAGAACTTCTTCGGATAGTGAATCCATATCGCCTGTAATGAGGTCTGGAACAGGAGCATCTGACAATTCATATTCATGATCAGAAAGCCATTTTATCCAACGTTCTGTTCCACCATCTACGGTTACGCGTAATTTGGCTAAACACAAATTGACTTAGATAGAAAGTAAATTCTGAATATATAAAATTCAACCTTGTGTCCACATATTAAACACCACATCATGTCTGAAGCAAACATTAATTCGACGGTTAAGTACAATGACTGCGTAGGTCCTATCTCGAAAATCTCCCAAGATCTCCTCGCATGGCCTCCAAGTTTCCAGACGTTCCATAAAGATGTTACTTTCCTAAAAAATAAATATTTCACACCTGACGCGAAAACATAACCTAAAATTGAATGAAAAACTGACGAAAAGTACTAACTGTAAAAAAAGTTCGGTTGAACTGGTTTCCCATTAGTAGGTATCACCTAATTTAGAAGTTTTTTGAAGAACAATCCATTCTGCCCAATTCAATTATTATATTATCAAGGACAAAAATCATGCGCCATCCAAAAATTAATTATATTACAATTATCCACTTCAGCATACAAATGTAGCACTCATGTATGAATGGTAAGATTACCCGAACCTAACATTGAAAAAATGTGTTAAAGAAAATTAGATAATGGATAACATAATACACAAAAAAAATAGTTTTCCGCTAACGCCCGCAATTGAGATATGTGGTAAAGATTTGCTCAAACCATTAATATGAATTGACAGATCTGACGTCATTCGATTCTAATTTAAAATATTTTTGTCTAAATGATATGGACACGACGTTATCCATCATATCGTGTGGAAGTTCAACACGTTATCCGAAAACTTAAACACAAATTCAAGCCAAATATCGAAAAATGGCCAGTTCTTAAGGCCTATTCGGAAACGGAATCTTTAGGATTATTTTTTTGCCACTGCGATACTATTTAAAAAACATCTGAATTCCTCCTGCGCAGGTTGTTGAATCGAACTTGCTGAGCTAGCAAGTTCGATTCAACAATAGCCGACGCAAGAAGAATCCAGAAGTTTTGTAAATAGAAAACTATGGCATTGATAAAATTCAAAACTAACCTTATGTTATCCGTGGTATAATCCAGACCAACCAATATAATATAGTTGTCTATGATTAAGACACCGTTGGCGGTTTGAGTGCATTTGGGATAATACTTTTTTTGTGTTCGTGTCAGTTTTAAGTGTTTATTTGCTGGTAGTGGTAAGTTAAAGAAAATTATTTATTGTTGCATGACCGTTATCCATATTTTAAATGACCTTAAGAGTCTTAAGTTGTTTAGATTACACTCGATTAACCTATGACCTTTCGCGCTCTCTGGGAACCACATGATAACAGTGGACGCCATTCTATCAGTAAGATGAAACAAAATAAGGAAATTTATAATTATAAATTTGATTGTATTGCCGGAAACACAAGTTGAGGGAAGGCATTTAAATGAAATACATCGTTATTGCTTGACTTTTATTTTTTTATGTACGACACTGGATGATTGTTCGTAAAACATTATGAAAAAACGTTATATAATAATGTTAATAATGGTGTTCTGTGGCGTTATTTCAATACGATATTATTATGTATGTAGGTTTCTAGTTTTAACATAAAAAATTGTAGAAACTCTACATCGTTTAGATTTCAGTCAATCATACAATATTAATCATTACGGGAGCTTCTTTTAGTAAAATTTATTGAAGACCTTTCTGGAAGGATAAATAGAAAAAAATAACGATTTTCAGCAGCATAAACACAACGTCAGTGTTTTTTTATAATTTAAGATTTTCTTTAACCTTTTGGAATAGTTATACCCCCAGAAAGGCTTTTAATTAATAATAACTGAAGAAATGTTGACCCTCAATTAATAACTAATATTTTATATATACATTCTTTCTTTAATCTGCGTTGTTGTTGAGTCCAAGATATAATTTTCAATAACTTCATAAGGGCTTAATCTTAATAAATGTTTTATTAAATACAATTTATTCTATCCATGTAAAAAAGCATGTAACATTGAAAAAGATATAACATTTAAAATTTATGTATTTTATACCTATAATATATTAAAATGCCATTCAGGTAACGATTCAACATATTAGTCAAATGAACAAATCCGCAACGTACCCAAACGCGTACAAATCACAGATGATTAACATATAACACTTAATAATATTGTTTATATTTTTAAAAAGCTCGAAATTTATATTTATATCCACTAAATAATGGACAAATTTAAAGACATGTTACCATAGAGGAGAGCTGTTGTATTCGCTACAGCACCCAAAATCAACGATCGCGTTGAGCCATCACTGAAGTTGTGAGCACATGTTCACTTTCTGGGTATATTTAAAGCGGCCTGCAGTGTTGCCAAGCTGGCAAAATTAAATTTTCCTGAACTTCTATCGTCGATTCATATCTTTGAATAACTCGTTAGGTCTCGTCTATGTTCTACTAAATGTCACCCTCTAAAGCGATACTTAAGGTAAGTGAGATTTTTTAAATACGAAAATCAACAATTCTCGACAACGTCCGTGTGTATTTAACAAACCATCATAGTGATAAACGCTTTGGCACTTATTCATTTTTAAACCAGATCAGGGACGATTTCTGGTGTTCAAGCAAGCCAAGCTCTTAAAATTGCCTGCTGCATCAAGCTAAATGGAGACCCACACCACTGTAGCAAAGCCTGTTGGGTCATAAATCAAATTATGAGATCGTCATCGGCAATTAAAACTGCAAAAAACATTCGATATACTCGGTTTGATATATACGAAAGTTGAGCGCTTCGTTCATATAACCGAGTCTTTGTTTGAAAATTACAATTGTGAAAATTTTTAATCTCGTTTTCGGTCGGTATTTTTTCTTGATGTCTTTTGTCTTCGCATGAGTGTTTTATTTCAATGTCAGGAGACAACTAACCGCCCTGTAAAGTTGGGGTGCTTGAGTCATAGTGATATAATGAACTAATGTTCACTTGAATTATTATTACAATATTATTATTAATATAGTTATTTATGAGTGAACACTTAGAATTAACGACTAACTTACCCACAAATCGTCCCATATTTCAGAACTAGGTTCCGGTAGTTAAACCACCAACATAAAATTACTAGATTCACAGAACAACTGTTAGTGGAAGATTTGGCTGTTTATCCCACTACCGTTTTTATTCCGTTAAAGTCAAAGCATGCAAAAAATAAAAATAATCGCTATGCAAAAATTGGCGCAGCACTCACCCCTTTCAGTTTTTTACGAATCACCCTGTACATGGAAAATCGGAAAGTTGAACTATTTTGTTCGCTTGTCGCGAAATGTCCAATTTGTCTAAACTATCTACATAACTCACGCAGATCTTAAATTAGATTAAATTTTATTATTTATTTAATTGTAACATTTTTAACAATTTTTTTAAGGAATTAATTTGTACCTAAACTTGCTAATATAGTTAAAGTTTGTTTCGTAGGTGGAATTTTGCGAAGAAAACAAAAAGAAAGTATTCTACGGGGTGTTACATTAAGAATTAATTTAAGAATGATTTTTAGGTATATCTCTGGCATAAAAATAATTAAATTAAAATAATACAACAAATGAGTTTCCGCTAGAAACGTTAAACGTTTTGCACCCGTTTTTAATGAGCATTTTTACGAGGAACCATCAAATTGAAGCGTTCTTTGGTAAACATGTTGTTTTGTAAAACAACACTTTGGATAACAAAACACCAACAGCCGTCAATACCACAAAGGGTTAATAGGGTCAATATTGATTTGTGGGCCCCTCCATAACTGAAATTCATTGAGAGTTTTATTTTTCTAATTTTTGACGAGTCCTTTTGTGTATTCGTTGGCATGTGATTTGTTATATTAGTGTTACATAAGATATCAGTTATACGAGTACCGAAAAAATTGACATTCTTTTTGAAAGTGAATGTTGACATTTATTAATAGGTAAATGAATTTTTTGTCCAAATAAAGCCAACGTTTATCACAAGGAAACCAATCTCTGCAAGTTTTGAGGTTATCTCAATTATTTAAGGTTAAAAAAACACGTTTGTGGTAGCCTGCTTTTTTTAATTATAGTTTCTGCACAATAGATCCTGAGTTCATCGGCGCATTTGATTTATTTATTTTAATATTTAAATTAAATTATTTAATTATTAAATTTTATCAGGGGTTCCATGTACAACAGTGTCCCAAATTCGAGGGGAACTTTGGGACCTCAGAAGATACGAAGTCGCATTCTGATGCTTAATTTAAAATTGTTTAAAAATCGATAAAATTCCGATTAGTTCCGGAGATATCCGGAAAACCCGACAATTTTGGGATTTAAAAAAAAATCCGACGTTTACCGCACTTGTTGCACAATATACTTTTTTTCTACTCCCTTCTGTAAAATACCTAATTATATGCCAATCTAGCATGCGGAAAGGGCCATATTACCGCGTCAGTTTCGTTTCACATGGACTTCCGACCTTTCCGAGAAATTACCGCACGGGTTTGGTAACAATCGGATGTTTTCGCAGATGTTACCAGACGGCTTAAATTTTAAAGTTTGCGAATTTAGAAAAATGTGCCCAAAAATTAATGGTCGTAGAAGAAGTATAGTATGCAACACGTTTGGGAAACTTATTAAATCACTAGTTTATTAAGCACTCGTGACTCAAATGCCGTTTACCACACAATATATATTTTATATTTATTTTATAAAAGTATTTTTTTGCTACTTTAGTCTACTGTAATAATTAGCTATCGAAGTAAAATGTAATTTAAGCTCTAAAATTTAATAAATACGTCAAGACGGTTTGACCTAATGCTTTTGTTGCATTTTTAACTATTTATAATCGAATAAAACATAAATTTGTTTGGAAGAAGGACAGTGAAGGTATGTTAGACCCGGTCACTATGGTTCTGTTTCTGGGTAAATTAATATACAAATAAAATAGCAGTGCTATTGAACACTTAACAACCAACTTATTTTTTGCGTAAATTTGGCTTTATTGTCAATTTTGAGGTGTTATTGTTTAGTAAATCATTAAGTGTGATTGATACACGTATTTCTTCAGAATGACAAGCTGACAAAAATGCAATTGATGATGCGCATACAAAAAAGATACCTCATACTTAAAACGTAATAATTCCAATTTGTAGGGAAGAAAAGTAGCAATGGGAAAGTGTCATTTGTTTTCTTTTAATTAACTCCTGGAAAAAAGCACCACAACTTTGACTTCTATTTAACGTATCTCTTACGGTTTCCGGGATTCCAGTAGCTCCCCTCGAATTTCTTAGAAATTCAGTTAAATTTTCCATTTGAAATATGCTATGTGCCTATTTAAATTATAAAAGTCGTTGCAAACGGATAATTAAATAAAATATTTGAGGCAACGATACTTTTTGGGATATTTGGGTTGGTGGCGGGAGGGGGGGGGGTGCTGTTGGGATTTTAAGTTTACAGCGACACTGAAAAATACATCCTAACTAACCTAACCAACCAAGTTACACGGACAAATTAGCATCGCTGAGAAAAGTCGAGTCAATCAATGTACTTGACGTTTCCGTATTTCTAGTCGTTTCATTTAGTATTTATAGAAAGTTAACGTTACATTTTGGCGTTTGACGAAGTCTAGTTTAGTAAAACACGATGAAGCGTGTATCAGAACCGACCGACACGACATTACAACGCGGTCGTTTCACTGGCCAACAGCACGTCTATAGTTTTCACCCTGGCTCTAGCCCGTTCCACCTTGCGTAACGTGTCGGCATCCGATTCGAGCAAAATGATGCACATGAACGTCTCTCCGGTGGCAGAGTCGCGCGGGTATACAGTCTGCGCGTCAAACCTGACGCGCAGGTCCGCTCGGTAAGCGTCGAGGCGTCGCGACACATCCGGGTACTGACGTTTGAGCGACACGCCCCTCTCGCGCAGCTGTTTCTGCAGATTGTCCGCTGCTACGCAGCGCGCCTTCAAACTGATCTCGCGCGTCGGGAGTCGTATGGGCGGACACGTCAGTATCAACGTCTCGGGCGTGTCCGTCGCGTCTCGATCCGACGCCTCCTTACTCAACTTCATTTTCGCGCATCGCGACACCAGCTGCCTCTCCCATTTGACCGCGCCGGCGGCCGGCGTTTCCGACACCACGCAGATCGACACGTAGAGGACGAACTTAGAGTCGGGGTTGTAATTTTTGCACATGTTGACGATCTCCTCGTAGAGCTGGGGACCCATCTCAGACGGCAGCAGGTCCTGCCACGGCACGAACGTCAACTCGCCGAGACCGGCCAGTCCGTTCGTCAGGAATTTTTCTGCGGACTCCGGGTCCGGGTAGAAGCACTTGACGGCGCCGGAGCCGTGGGAGATATACCCTAGGATGTTGTAATATTAATAGTAGACTCGCTCAAGGTCACAATGAAGAAGTTTAGATGAAAGAAGAAGAAAACAGAAAGGAGGCTTGTGCACAAATGAAATACTAATAATATGAGTCGGCGCACCATTTACAAATCTTCTGGATGCAAACTTGCTGAAGTTTCGCCAATCATTCTGCTGGCTTCTTCAGAGCTTATCTGAAACTGATGGTACAACAAACAAAGATAGACAGATAGAGAAGATAGATATTAAAGATGACATTGGGCATATAGGTGGAACCAACGGGTCATTGTTTGTGTTGTGTTTTTTTGACCTTTATAAAATTTCAGTACTTGTTTGGGTTTGGATTAATTATCCCTAATGATAAAACGATTCAAAAGAGTTGGGTGATAGCTTGCAAACGGGCAATTCTAAAATAATTAACTATTTTTGGTCATTTGTTTTTTTAACTTTAGTGCTTTACTTGAATAAGCAATTTCTACACTTCATGTTAGATTTGTTTTTTTTTTCATTTTAAATAAAAGGATTTGATTTTTAGGATTACTGAATACCTCCATTTTTAAGTTTAGAAAAAAAGGTATTTCAAAAATAATATAAGTTAAATATGCATAACTCAAAACCTATTTCTGAGTTATGAAAAATAATTTTCCCTCATTAATATTTTTAAATTTTGAGAATGTTTTGTTATTGCTTTGTTTTTGATTTCTCCCTAGTCGGTAACCATGATACATGTTTGTTGTATATCATGGTATATTGCAAACACTTTGCACTTTGCAATAACTACTAAGATTCATTTTAGCCCATAAACTCTCTATTGCAGAAAAAAAAGTGTTTACTTTTAAGACTCTTAACCATAATTTCCATTTTATTCCTTTTTCAAACATTTATAATTAATCTATAGAATACTGCAGAAAAATATTTATACTAAAATAAAAAAAAAACAAATTTCCTTAGCATTCATAGATCACCTTAAACGCACCTAGATTTTTTATTATTCGTTAATAAAATAAAAAAAACGTAACGATTTTTTTATATGTATGTGCATGTTTGCTTTCTAGAAATATGATAGCAACTTGCTTTTTACCCTAAACAGTTATCATTAACAAACTTTAACAATTGTACTGTAAACAAGTATCATATCCTATAAATATTCGGCGTCAAATTCAAATTGTTAGGTCCGCGTGACGTCATGTGCGCGCCGGACGAATTTAAAACCACGATCTGTCATATTGTTGTACGATTTCTGAAACTGGCTCGTGCTTATATTTTGTTTGAGGGGGCGGAGCTAAAGGAGGGGCATAAACATTGTTTCGTATTTCCATATTGATGAAAGGTAAAGAGGTAAAGGCTTTCTTCTCAAAGACATCCATAAATATATTCGCGATGACTGGCGCTAATTAACATTAATGTAGTTATAAACAACCGACGCAGGGGGAATCCAGATGATTTGTAAATAGTATTACAGTGGCCTGTAAAATTTTCTTTAAAAAATTAAATTAGAATAAAAAAAAATGTTTGTTTTCAGAGTTCTCTGGACATTTTTTTGTTCTAATTTAATTGTGTGCCACCTCATTTCAATTCTCCCATATTTCGTGTCTTACTGGATATATGTCGTTAGCTGGTTAAGTTTACATGAAAGTAAATGATATGACCACATGAGGTTTGTGTCGCCGATGCGCATGGCTTTATTGCAGAAGCGTGTGTCGCCGAAGGTGGCTATCTCGATTAGCATTGCTTGGTTGGTTATCTAGTATTTTAATGGCTGATTGTCTGGTAGCGTTTTGCAATGTTCTTGATAGTTGATAGGGTTACCAAATGATATTACATTACAAGTTGCAAGTAAGCTTTTCGGTTCGGTTTCCTAGTAAAAGTTTTTGTTTATTGGTATTATTGGTTTTATGGAAGCACTGGTTATTTCGGATTTTGTGTAGCTCCGATGGTTGATATTTGATTAGCTTTTATGCTTGGATTGTGCATTCTTTTAATATGTCCGGGAAGTCTAACCATATGCCGACTCTCAGGCTGGAAGAGAGTGGCCAAAATAGAAATAATAAAGAACTGGATTGGAAACATTTTCCCAACCAAGCTCATTCACTATTTCTTCGTCATATACCAGAAATAAAGTTGGTATAAGAGATAGTGCCGATTTGGATAAAGTGCCTTAATAACATTTTAATCCAATCAATCAAAAAGTTCAATTAAAATAATAAAATTTTCCTTTTTCGTCTTATGGGTAGGCTCTAAAATTGTACTTTAAAATCATTCTGTGTGAGCAACGAGAATGAATTTTTTTTTCTAGCATTATATAGTTCAGGCAAATTCGTAATTGGAAAAGAGGTTATAGGTTTAACATAGAACCAACCTCTTCTTGCGAGCCTGGTCAGCACTTTGAGGGACTCCTTTTCTTCTTTGGTAGCAGCAATCACCTTAAACACATTGCACGGTAAATAATTCGGCCTATATAGCGGGTATTATCAGACGATAGTAAAGAGATTTTAATGATGAAGTTTTGTTCGGTTGTTATTTTTTATGCTGCTGTAGGAACCGAGAACATTTTTACAGTATGTGTTCAAACTAGCAAAATTAAGAGCACTGTTTGAGAAATTCAGGGTCGATTTAATATTGTAAAGCAGGTTTGTAAGTTGCAAATCTATTGCTAAGTGCGTTAGGTAGGTTTAAGAAATACAATTTTTACATCAATAACTATTATATTTATTATTATTGACATTTACCATCAGCAGAATAATTTAATATTACATACAACCAAACAAATTTCACATCCTGAAGTGTCTTGATATTTATTCCGCCAGAGTTCTCACTGAATGGTAAAATCGCCATATCCTTATTACTATTATTAAACTGGATGTTTGGGATGCGATAAAATTTTTCCATATCTTTTTTCGTATACTTTTCGTTTTTAAATCTTTCAAGTTTGGTAAGGTAATTAAGAAAGACTGCACACTATGTATGGTTCTGACGACTCACCTGGCGGCACAATGTGCCTACCCGTGAGAACAGGCAAGTTTTCCGATGTCTTTCCCAATGACTGCGCCTGCAGGCCCTCGAGCAATACGTGTACGAGCAATTGTGACAGTTTTTGAAGTATTCCGCCTCTCTCGACGATGCCAGCGCGGTTTTGCCGCACCGGGAATAACGGCAACGCAGCACGGCGGCGGCGCTTGGCGTTGGCGGGTCCGGGAGCGTCGCGTCGCACCCGTTGGATCGGCGCCGGCATCGGTCCGCGTCGCTGGCGTCGCTGGAACGACGATTGGGGCTAGTACTAGCTGACGCCGTCTCTAGAAGTCAAATGGGTGCGGTATAGCGACGACCTGCGTTGATTTTACAGTTCGCTTGGCTCATTGCAAGTTGCGGTCTCTGAATAGGAGGGGCGAAAAACAAAGTTTAAATTTAATCGGTGTGCGTATATATATATATATATATATATATATATATATATATATATATATATATATATATATATATATATATATATATATATATATAATGTTTCCAGCGTGAATGGTTTCTGGTGAAAATAGTATGATTTGTCATCATTCTCAGGGCCACAATAGCAAAATTGTATTTTTCTAAACAATACAACGCTCGCTTTGGAAGCCCGGGAACTGTTAGCTGTAATCGAAGATCCTTCAATATCAGTTAGACGCATAGAACAAGTGGAATTCCAAAATCTATAGAACATTTTATCTTGCATAACAAGAAATAAATTTCGAATCTCTAAAGGCCCAAGGCTATAAGGCGAAGGGTCTTGTGTAAGAACATGCTCAAATGACGAAAATTGTGTTAATAAATAATAAAATAATGATAATGATAAAAGTATGCTAGCCAACCACTTCAATGAAGTACACATTATTGGTCTAAGTGTCAAAATGTGTTTTAATTTGTCTAAGAACCAGCATCGTATTGGTTTCAACATGTGGGCGGAAGTTTTGGGAACATGGATTATTGGGTCACTTTTTTATAGTTTTAGAAGGATTTGAAACCATCACACCCGAGGTAATTAGCAATGTGTTCAGTTCCATAGCTAGATGATGTGACGTATGCTTAGAATGTAATGATCATTTGTTTGAACTCTATGGTGTTGAATTTCCTTCATTAAAGAAGAGCTACCTCAATAATTCTCCTAAATCTCCTATCAGAGTGCCGCAAGATTGGGGGGGGGGGGGGCTTAATTTGTTAATACTTCAGTCAAAGGGGGATACGAATCGAACATCAAAGAAAAGCAGTAAACAAAAACTGAGCGGGTTTTTTTTCTCGTAACTAAAATACCTGGAAATGGAAACTACTTACACATGCCTCCTACCTTGAAGGCAGGGACTGGATGCCTTTCCTGACGAGGGTAGACCCAATAAAGAGTCCAAAACGTCCTCTAGAGTCGTGGAACTTGGCGATGGCCTCATCTTTGACTCGTCGGTCGATAACATTGTCATATCTGCAAGTTAATATTGCTGGGAATTGAGAATATTGATATAGCCGCTCTGTGAGCCTAACTTTAGATACGCCAATTTCTTTTATTACATTTTTTAAATTTAACAATTAGGTTCGACTACTAGATTTTAGTATACACGCTGTCCCAGGAGCAGATAGCATATTCTGGGGTGCGTACTGGAAAGGTCAAAATAACCCTAGTTTGTCACAAATACAAAGTGTCTCTGAACAGAGATAGAGGATGATTTATACACGCGCGTCTCCAGCTTCTCGGCTTATATAATTTTTTGAAATTTTAGTAATAGTTCATTCTTACATCGGCAAGACTCAGGAATGGACCTGCGCCCACACACGTTGGGTTAAAATGTTGATAGGTGCTATTTCACAGAGAAATAGTATATCATGCAACAAATGCAGTAAACGGTATTTGACTCACGAATTTATTTGGTACGACCGGAGCGAGTGTTTAATAAACGAGTGGCTTAACAAGGTTTACCGAACGTGTTGCATACTATACTTTTTCTTCGACCGTTAGTTTTTGGGTACATTTTCGCAAAACTTCAAAATTCAAGCCGTGAAATAGTCACCAAAAACATGCGATTGCCCCCAAACCCGGGCGGTAAAATCCCAGAAACGAAACTGATGTGGTAACTTGTGGACACTTCCTGCATGTTAGATCGGTGTGTAATTAGATATTTTACAGAGGGGAGTAGAAAAAGTGATTTTTTAAATACTTCTGTCGTTTCTTTTCAAAAAAGGTTTTCTACATTGGTTTCGATGACGGTTTTCAAAAAAAAAAGGATGCTTTTTTCAAAAGTTTTTAGATGTGGTCAACAGTGGTAAATTCTTGTCTTATATTATTACCGAGTTCATCAGCTAGATGCATGTGGAGATTAGTGAGATATAATAACTTTATTATTAAATCAACCGCTAATTTTATCATATGTATAGTATTTTTGTGGAAGAAAAATGACGCAGGTATTTAAAAAACAACTTTGTAAAGTGATACCTGTCAAAATGTCGTACAGCGAGTGTGATGTTAGGTCTATTCCTGACTTCACTGGCCATTTAAAACATTTTATAGTACCACGGTTTTTGTAGGTCTTTATGGCCTACACAAATGGGTAACCCTTTGTTAAGAGTACTAGAGTTACTTTGACTTCGCCTGTATGCTCGCCAGAATATGCCATATACTTACCGGACACACTGTATATTAAGTTTATGTTCATGTAAAGTCTGTTTTCAAAATATTGGTTCACTAGAAAATCTAGTTATAGTAGACCGAACTCTAAATGGAGAAGAACAAGCTGTGCAAAATTGTTACAGCAAAGCATTAAAAGGCCAGTGTTAATTGAATCCCAGCGATCGCAAGTGTGGTGTTAAAATTATTTGAATTCCATAAAGCAATAATATAGCGCAGAAAATTGAACAATCGTATGTTTTGCTGAGACGAAGTTTGATTAATTTTCATCAAAATACAGGGTCAAAATTGTTGTTAGCTTTTGTTAGAATTGAAGTGAAGGATTCAAATACCACAAAATAAGAATTATGTGATGAAAAGAAGAAGTTATTATTGAAAAAGTTGGCTGAAGGTTGGTTTTGACCTAACATTATAACAAACTACCCTTTATTTTAAACAAGGATCCATTCCTTTAAGGTTTTCGCATTTGTGTTGAAACAACCTGTATACTGCCTTTCATTACACTATTCCTTTTTAACCGTTGCTGATATAACCAGATTACAAAAATTCAGATACCCTAATATTTTGAATCCAGTTCAGTTCTAGTATTTCAGAAAAAAAAATTACAAAATTTTCTGTTCTAAATAAATAATTATTCTATACCTATCACTTTATTAATACTGTAATATTCGAAAAATGGTTAATTCTAAGAAGCTGTCACAAGATCATAAGCTAGAGCTAGGGTCTTTTGAATATTAAGTAATTTGGTCAAAAATTTTCTGCAAGAAGATGAAATGCCCTAATAAAAATTATTATTATTTATAGCGTTCAAAATGAAATAAAATGCTAATTTTCTTGATAAATTTCAATTCGGTAGAGAATTTTAAGACCGTCGTGTATAATCGGGAAGCGGTACAAAGCGGAAACAATGCAAATAAGCAACCAAGCGTGTACAAACAAAAAGTATATTTACCTCCATAAAACCAAAAACCAAAAAGAAAATCCGACCGTGAATTCCAACTTCAGGCATTGCCAAAAACATAAACAACAAAAATGTTTAATGTGAGGATAATGAAACTAAAACGAAATACAAAAAAAAATAAAACGAACTTTTATTGAAAAGAAAATAATCTGTTCACAAACATGCACCCTAAATATAAACGCAACGGTATTACTTATACATAACGTAAAAATAATTTTAAAAAACCTTAGGAAAGGAAAACGCTCCAGACGGTTACAAGTTTGACAGATTGCACATTAATTGGCTAAACTAAATTAAAACTGTACAATAATAACTATAATTCTACGATTAAAAAATAAGAATTAGTAAAATCTTTCGTACTATTCGTTGATATGTCGTATCAAAATATTACCAAATAAATTAAACAAAAAAAAAACACACAATAAGCAACACGAGTAATGCAAACAAACATACATATCAAAACCATCACAATTTACTGGTTTGTAAATGATGTGGTGACACAACGTTATTAAATTTTAGTGTACGCCGTGGGGTGGGCTTTCGTCTGACGCCTTTGAGGCAAACTTAGCTGATATATTACATAAACTAAATTGCGGGACACTCGAAACGGGTATCAAAAATTGTGGACAGCGAAACTAAAGATATTTTGGTTATGAATTTCGGTATTGGCCCGCTATCGCTCTGTTATGAATTCTCTGTGTTTCTTGAATTCAAAGGAATAAACAAATTGGATATCTTTTAATAGTGTTCGAGACTTTTCCTTCAAATTTGATATTGGATTTCAATTTTTGCTCATTTTGCCTTTTTTTTAATCTAAACTTCATCGAAAAGATCATCCTGAACTAGTGTTACTTATTGATCCTAAAACTATGTATAGAAATGTTTTTTTTAAATTGCACTTTGTCGACTCAATGCTTTCTTGTGATTAATTTTGCTAGCCGAAGCATTTTCCGATATATTAATTATATTTCTTTTCTTCAAAATTTCGGCTGCAGTTTGCAGATTTGTTCCACGTTTTACGGCGACAAATTAAATGATTCCTTATTTCTTCGATTGGAGTACCCTGAAGTTCCTTTAAAATGATTATAAGAGTGGTACCGAATTCGCAAGAATTGAAAAAGTCACAAAAAAGGCACACGCAAACGCAAATTAATGAAATTGCAGAACATTTTCTTCAAATGATAAGTAATTAAGTTTTTGACTTTTCGTAGGTCCTCCGCCCTCAAAACCTGCAACGGTTTAACATATATTTAAAAATTTTCCGCATCGACGTCGGCAAAAGCTCACCCCCGCTGAAAACGAACTACTTTGTTAAAGCTGACTTTACCGACTGAATATATTAAACAAATACAATATTTTATTTTATTGCTATCCTAACAATATCTAAAGAGCACCGTTACAGACGGTAAACGAGATAATAAAGCCGAGTAGTAGCAGTCCATTGTCATTTATCTACGATTTGTACATGTACGTTCTTCAGTTTATTTCATACGGCGTGGGTATTCCGAAATTCCGTTTTACAGAGTGTCCAATAATCGTTGCAGACCAATATTGGTTTAACATCGGTTGTAGGGTTATTAAAGCGAGATGTTCCTGGAACATCTTATGTATATATCGCTCGCGGTATAATGAACAGAAAACCCATAATGTGTATGTCCTAATGAAGCCAAAGAACCAATGTTTTAACCGTATTATATCTACAAAGTCTTGAATTTTATGATCATTTTACGAGGGGATAGAAATAGAAAATCCCGAGAAGCATAATTCAGTTTGTGTTTGAAAAGCAGCCAGCATAACACACCATTGCCTGTCCATATATACAATAATTTTAAACACAAACTGCAAAATTTCCGATTTCCAGGTATTTTACTGTGACTCTTCAACTTGTAATGTTTTATTGTAACAGGTAGTATAAGAATTTATTTACCTACTGTCTCTCTTGTGTATCCTCTTAAGAACCTCCTAAAACAAATTTGTATGGGCAGGATATTGCAGCATAGTAACCATTACAAATGAGGGTAAATAATTAGCAATATGTCAGATGGAACTAGTACCAAACTTAGAGAAGTGCGACGACTACAAGAAAGGAATGAGGATTAAAATAGAAGTTTCGCGAAGATAATAATTGGGACTTTGCTTGATTGCCAAGTCTACGCGACACTAATTATGGAACACTCTGCATACATATGTATATCCGACCCCGTGACGCACGACGCTGCTTATATAATCGGTAACAAAGTAGAAATGTACGCTCGCACCGTAGCCTACCGCGTAGGCCTTCACGCCCTCAAAGACTCACCCTTACTGCTGTGATTGCGCAGATCCAGTTTCAAACTTTGAGGCGGGCCAGAGTTCTCCGAACACGTGACCGGAGTCTCCGGACTGTCGAGCGGTTTGGTGCCGACGAACGAGCTCTCCAACCAGCACAGTTTCTGACTACCTCTCGGGCTCACGGAGCTTGACCTCCGGCTCGCCGCGTCCTGATTGTTATCGAGCGTCCTCTCGTCCGAATGAGGTTTCAATCCGCTGACGTAATGGACTATAGCGGACGTCACCTCCTTTATCGACGTTTGGATTTCGGGCGATTCGTGTTGTTGCTGTGCGTTACTCTGACTTTGCTGCGCCAAAAGCGAGCTGGCCAACCGCTCGGCCGGGGTCCTGGGCCTGCTCAAACGTTCCTGCGACCTCCAGCCCATGTAGGGCTGCCTGTAGCTGAAACTGGACCGGACAGACGACGGCGATATGGAGCCGTTAGGCTGACGGCTTCCGGTGTTGAAACTGCTTCTGGTACTTTGGCAAGGGGACGAGGCGGTACTGTTCAGTTTAGAAGTGCTCCATCGGACGAACGGCTGGTTGCAAGGTGTCGGGCTCAACATTAACGGACTCTGGACGCCCGAGCCCAACGAGCTGAGGCTCGTCGTCTTGGATGATGTTCCGGTCCATCGGGCTTCGCGCGAGGGATGCTTTTTGAGCAGGAATCCCTCCCGGGGCACCTGGGACTGCTTGTACCAGTCCGGTACCGTGAGCTTTTGCAAGCTGCGTTGTACTCTCAGTTCGTGCTCGGACATGACTCGTTCGGTTTTTTGCAGTTCATTTTCGGGAGGCTGAAACGATAGAAGGCATTTATTTAGAGAAGTGAAAATAGACTGAAAATTTGATTTTTGACCGGGAACTTACAAATTGTTTTACTATTTACAAAACTGCTGGATTCCTCCTGCGATTTTCCTTTGGTAGAAGAATTGATTTCATGTAAGATCTTTAATTTTATCGAATAAAATTGTATGTCCGGTTTCTTGATTGTGTTTGGCAACTGCTGATGATTTTATTTGTCTTAGCCCTTTCATTTTCTTTGAGTCTAGTTGATATTTTTCGACCTGTCTTTCCAATGTATTTTTTGTCGTCTATAGGCAACCAAACCATCTTAACCGCGGCTCAGGTATTTACCTGTCACCAATATGGGAATCAGTTTATGCCCCTCCTTTAGCTCCGTCCTTCCGCCCCATCCCCTCAAACAATAGTATTACGGTAGCCTGTGGAAGCTTCTTTGAATAATGTATAAATTGTTTTATTTCGCTCTTACAAACTTTGAGGTAAAAAAAAATTACCCATGCGAAGTTTAGATTTAAAAAAAATGATGTAATCGTTTAAGGTCGTCGAATAACCTTGATAATAAGTATTATTATTTGTAAATTTGTCGAACGATAAGCCCTAAAAATGTTTACCCGCAGTGTAACTAACTACACCTCTAGTTGTATAAATGTTCCTACTAGCCGTAGAACTTTTGTAGATTTATTTAATTTTTTATTTGTTTTTTTTTTGTTCGACCGAACACAAAGCAGAGCAGAACATATGGTGTGGTATTAATTAGACGACATTAAGCTGCAATCAAAATTAAATTTCTAAATGCTCAATGAAATGAAAGGTATTAAGTCGTACAGAGTAACATTTTGTAATATCTGTCTATAGGACCTTTCAAAATTCATTATAAACATTTCAATTGCATATTTATTAGTCAAAAATAAGTCGCTGGTGTCAAAGTGTCCCCACTGTGTCAAAGTTTAAAAACAATAGTTTTTTTTTATTAATTACTACTAAACCTGGAGTAAATAATTTTATGTCAATAAATGAAATTCCTTATAACCGCAAATAGGCATCCCCGGTGTTACGAAAGCATTGTTAAAGTGTTTTGGAATTATGAACTCATTGCAATAATTAATATAATTTCGATTAACGGAAAATAAAAACCCAATTTGACGACAAATAGGCGTGCCTAAATTTGTCAAATTTTTTTGAGTGGTAACTTATTTTTGGCTGATAATATAATGCCCTTAAAATCTTGTATTTGTTATTTTTTTATTGTTGTTTATAGTGACAAACGACGTTATCTCATATGAATCGAAGCAAATTGAAATTAAATTTTGTACCTTGACGAGGTTATAAAAACATTCGCCAGATATTGGAAAATAATCTAAAATAAAACAATTAAGTTACAAAAAAATCCGAGCACAATAGAGTTACAATTGCCCTTATTGGTTTTCTATAAGTAAATTAGAAATCTCACCATGATTTTCTAATTACAATTGAAGAAGCATTGCAATTCTAATTGGTTACGTTCAATTTTCAGTCGCGAACTGTGAGTTCTGAAGTGGCGGACGAACCTTATCTTTAATGTTATCTCAAACGCAAATCTGGACGGATTCCATGGGAATTAGTCGCCGTAAAAGTAAGATAACCTTAGGATTAACAAGACGACAACATTTTCCTTTTAATATGTTCACCGACAAAATAATCAATCCGCTCAGCGTTTTGATAAATTTCGATTTAAATAATTCTTTATTTAGTACGTCAGCGTATTTATAACATGCTTCTATGCAGGATAAGTTTTTCATGCACAAAGAGACGAAAAAGGATGGTATTCCCATAAAATTTATATCAGGAATATGTGAAGTTTAGGAGCAAACTCCGATATACTCACGGGTTCTTCCCATAGCATGCTCAACCTGACCCACGCGTGCGAATACGAATCGTCGTAGAGCATACCAGGCATTTCGGATCGGGCGTCCATATCGGAGATCTTAATTACACTTATCCCCCGCCTAATCGAATCGAAAAGCCAGAGAAGGCGCGCTTGCCGCCACTTTAAACGACACGTGCTGATTAAACCCGGTCAAAATAGATATTTTAATTTAAAATAAATTGCATAGAACTCAGTATTGGTGAAATATTGCATATTGCATATTAAACATTGAAATGGAAATGGAATACACTAACCAAACCAAGTCTGTGAAAACGGCAAAGAAGCAACCAATGAGCATAGCTACCAAATTAACTGATCGAAAATACCACGGTAGCCCATTTTCAAGCCCAGTCTATAATTTGTTACACTATAATCTGGAAACTTTAACACTAACATGTTGCTCGTTTCCTCTTCTCTTGAATATCAGTGAATTCCCAAATAAGTTTTCTAATCAATATTGGAGCAAGACCAATGTAATTAAAACAACTTTTGTAGGCTATTGCATGATCTACACACCTCTACTTAGAACCACCAGGGCTTCTTAGAAATACTGATACTATTGCAAATTTCTGACAAGTTTTACTAAAGCGAAACACTTAATTAGATTGCGGTGGCTTTATTGCATTACATACATTACAGCATTGTTTATTGTAGATCTAACATTGATGGTCTTCTTTTTTAGGCCACAAGGCGACCAAATTACGGTATAAATGCTTTAAAACGTGAAAATATTGTTTCCATGTTGTCAATTTTCGTCAGGGAATTTAAAACAGTTATTGCCTTGGCTTCCTTCTGACCTTTTTTTTTCACTAAGGTACAAATATTTAACTATAGTTGAAAGCAATCCTAAAAACCTGCGAACGTGAATTTTTTTTGGAGCACATCGGGACCCTTGATTACTATTTGGTACTATTTACAATAGTGCCGAAGTAACGAGCAATACAATAAAGGAGAAAAATTGCAACAACAGCACAGAGATAGAGGAACTACATCAAAAGATGAAAGATATCCCTAGTCAGCGAAGGCCCAAACCAAATATTCGTACCTAGGCAATTATATAGCAATAACGAATGATAAGAATATCAACACCTTAGTGCAAAAACACAGTTAAAAGAACGACTTGTTTTAATGACATATGCGAAAGTGTGAAAATCTCATAAGACTGGTGTAAATCCAGTGTAGCGCTGCCAAGCTTTCACACTAATCGCCGAGGGGTATCTAGAGGTTCAAACAAAATTGTACTACTACAAAAGTTTTGTAGACTATAAAAAAAATTGAACTGAGGTGGCTTTTACTTGATGAAAATCCATTTATCAAAATAAATAAGAACTAAAAGTTTAGATTTTCACGAAATTATATATTATGACATGACAATTGTTTCGACAACACCGTGTCTTTATCAAATGTGATTTGATAAAGACACGGCGTTGTCGAAACAATTGTCATGTCATAATATATAATTTCGTGAAAATCTGAACTTTTAGTTCTTATTTATTTTTTTTACTATAAAAAAAGCATTTGAGCGTATTAAGCATTAAAGAAATAATGAACACTGTACTTAAAAGCGGACTGGACAAACGAGATATTAATTAATTAAGATCAAACCACGAAGGTTGTGTTCCACTCGTAAATAGTAACACCAACTATATCAACATGGAAAGACGGGTTCGCTAAGAGACTCTTTTACTTCCTTTTTCATTTAACGTATACGCAGATTAGATCATCCCTGCAAGTCTGATTAGAACGCACAAAGGCTAACTGCGTTATTATTATTACAACCGAATCGATGGAAAGAGGGCTACCAAAGGTAATGCCAATAAGCAGGTAACTCTCGAAGAGGCAGAGAAATGTTTAGATCACTGGAATGAGATCAGAAGAAGAATTGAGATCGCAAGAACATGCGCAACTTGCTATGCTCCCTAAAGCTATCCACAGCGCAGCAGTTCGACTAAGAACAAGACAAGAAAACATTTAAAGCATTTGAACTTTGGATGTACAGAAGAATTTTGCTTATCGGTAGGACCACTAGAATAAACAATGAAGCAGTTCTTTTAACTGACCTAAAACTTCCTATTTGTGTCCATATCCCGCCATGAACAGTACGAACAACTGCAAAATATCCTGATGGGCAAAAATGGGAGTAACAGAAGTATAGGCAGGAAAAAATCATGAATCAATGGTACCATACTATCATTAGGGAAGACCTTGCCATATTGGCCGCAAGACACATCGCTCCATGCGAATTATTCTAAGCTTACCGCTTCTTGTTTTTATCTATTTCGACAGGATTATAAGCACTCTGTTAACGTGTCAAGAGCCGTTCGCTTAGTTATCGCGACACACATACACACAGACACACTTCGGTAACGAAGAACGTTCTTCATTTGAATCGCTCCCGTGCGTTTCGCTCGATCCATTGACGTTCCGGGAAGAATTAACGGTCAATTTTAGCCTAAATTGCGAGATTAAAAAATTATAAGGTCAAAGAGCGTGTCATTCGATCAGAAGTTAGTATATACGCCCCCTCGCGACGATGTCGGTTAATTGACCATTAATTGAAAAAGAATTACCCGCGCTGAAAATTTTATTGGATTAGGTCCGTATTTCATGGGCCGGTGATAATCGGCGTAAACGAACACCTGGTAGCAAGAAGACCATTTAAGGTAGTCTACGTAGCAATAAGTAAGATTACTTTCTAAAAAATTACACATAGACTATACCAAGGGGTACGAAGTATTGTGTATTTAAAAAGAGACAGTTTCTGTGTTAAAGAAATTATTTCTCAAATCACAATCGAGCTCCCTACGAAATGAATAGTTCATTGTAGGTATCGCTCACCTCCAGGCCTCCATAACCATGTAACATGGTGGTTACTTCAATATCTTGCTTGCTTCATCTATATATATATATATATATATATATATATATATATATATATATATATATATATATATATATATATATATATATATATATATATATATATATATATATATATATATATATATATATATATATATATATATATATATATAAATATATGATGACACTATATTCCGGGATATCATCCGTTCGCTCGTTGAACTC